GATGTGTTTTGATGGAGTTATCCCATCTAGTGTAGAGATTCCAGATGTTGACAAGCCTAGTCTTTTAGATACATCAGCAGCCTTCGGACATAAACATATAATAAGTTATCTTCTGGACGAAGGAGCAACGACCCAAGTCCAGACTTTTGTAGCAGCTTGTGTTGGTCCGCAATATATAGGTATGTTTCGCTTTATTTTGTAACGCAAGACTTAACGGCTGAAATTCACGGATAGAAACATAAAATGTTTGTCGATAGCTTTAAGTTAGATCACTGCTACGACGACACTTCCGTACAGGTCTGGGGGGTTGGATGGCTGAATGGTTAGCGTGGTTTCGCCTGTCCAACCTCGTGGGTTTCTCCGGGTCCCCCGGTTTCCTCCTACTGCTAAAGACCCCTATGCGCAAGCGAATTATTGAAGTAAAATTAAACCATATGTTAGTCCCGAAATGACCTAGTTTGTGTCGAGTGGGTTTCCTGCCACTGCTAAAGAACCCTATGCAGTAGCGAATTATTGAAATAAAATTGAACCATATGTTATTCCTGAAATGACCTAGTTTGCCACTCTCTCTCTCTCTCTCTCTCTCTCTCTCTCTCTCTCCGTACAGGTCCAGGTGCCTACGGCTAGTGCTAAATGATAAGGCCAGCTCAATGTTTCGTCACAGGTCACGAGATGTAAACAGGGCTAGCGCTAATCCCAACCCTAACCCTGGACCTAGCCACAATGCCTACCCTAACACTAACCTACAATCTCGCCAACAAGCACGTGCCCTAATCTTATTAACATCTCAGCGACCTTGACAAAAATTGAGTCCACGGTAACCGGAGGGCCGCCAGGGATTAAGCGAAAGGTTATTTCATATTCCGATTTATAGTATAGTATATTTGTCCTAGAGTAACAACACAAAACGTCACTTCAGTCAGTTATATAGAGGGATAACTCGTGTTTTCCTTTTGCGTTCGTCACTTCCGATTCTTGAAATCTTCATAACGCATCTATCGTAGCAATTATCTCTGTGTTATACTTGGAACGTGTTTAACCAGTTCAATCACATATGTGATAATGACTGGCACCAATATTGTCCTTTAACCCGACCTTTCTTTCCTTCGGGTGAAGTTTGTATATGTAGTAACATGACTACATGCCTGCTAAAGATAACAGGAATTTTTTTTTTCCAATGGATTTCAGGAATGGAAGCATGGCATAATGGGATGACGAATTTTGAATTGAGTGTGGAAGAAGAAAGATTAGATATAATTCAGTTGTTATATAAAAGGTATGGTTTTACTCACCTGTATTATATATAAACAGGCGCGGATTCTGGGGGAGGGGGAAGAAGAAAGATTAAATATAATTCAGTTGTTATATAAAAGGTATGGTTTTACTTACCTGTATTATATATAAACAGGCGCGGATCCTGGACGCGGGGCAATTTTTTACCCCATATATTCGCGCGGGAAAGGAATTAACAGTCAGTTTAGGTTGGATACCGAAATTTACTCCGAAACGAGTAGGTTGGTGACTTGGTTGATTGCCCGTCAGTCCGCCCACTGAGGGCTGGGCTTCGCACTCCCAAGTGGGGGCAGCACGCCCCCCTTTCTGAAAATCCTGGATCCGCCCCTGGAATGTGCATAACTCTCTTTTATGTTTTTACCATTTTTATGCCCCCTGCATTTGTAAATAGACTTAATTAAATCAATCAGTCCATAATATCGTAATCAATGTAGCGAACATTAAAATTGTAATTAACAATAGCAACATGCGGTCGATGTCTGTTTACGACGCTAAATACTGCCGACGGGAATAACATTGCGTTATTTCCCCTGTATTTCCATATTTATGACTGTTTACGACGCTTTACTGCCGACGGGAATAACATTAAGTGTAACGTTACACACGTCAAGCCCACTACCCTAAATCAGAGTTATTCTCCCCTGTATTTCCATATTTAAATCTCATTTTATACGCTTTCATTTGAGCTTATTTAAAATAAATGGTATTCTACTTAAATTTTATTTTCCGACGTGTTTGTCAGTTGCGCGGGACTCAGGGCCTGACAAGGAGAGCTGTCTTGTCGTTCGGATGGGACGAAAAGCCGAGATCCCGTGCACGTAAAAGATCCCTTGGCAGTTGGTATTCGATATAAGCGTAGGCCAGAGTGACGCTGTCCGGGCACAATTTCCCTCATAACACACTGTATGGCGTATACCCGTCTTCTTTAGCCCAGTACAGGAGCAGAACAGTAGGACGTTAAACCCCATTTCGTTTTATTTCATGTTGCTTTATATATTTTGTTGGTATTCTTTTTAAGGTCAAATTGCAGTAAAACTGATCGACCGAATATGTGGGTACCTCTATTGGAAGCGGCTATTTCCCGGTTCTATTGGAGTATTGTTGGATGGTGTCTTGAATATTTGAGGGAGGCTGACATCAGTTTTCGTAATCACAGGTACGCACAAGCCCGTAACTGTGTGTGTGTGGGGGGGGGGGGGCTGTGAAATTTTTTTTGACTATAGATAGATATACATTTCCCGTCAATTTTACAGCACCCCTGAGAACAAACACTTCCACCCACCCTCGTTGCTCTGAGCTAGTTACGGCCCTGGGTAACATTCCGTTTATTATATGACAATCCTTACGTATTTTCTAAAGACAGAATAACTTTCTTGTCTGAAAAGACAATTTTTCACTTGTACATGTTTCAGTTCATAGGTCGGAAAACTCAAACGTATCCCAAGAAAGGAGCCACGGTGGCTAAGTGGGTAAGACGCTGGCTCGCTATCCTGGAGGTCGCGTGTTCAATCCTTGCATTCCCAAAAAGTTATTCAGGATTTCCGGCGTGGTTTCCTCTTGTCAGTGGTGCAGGAAGGCTGCCTAGTCTTCGGGTGGGATGAAAAACCGAAGTCACGTCCACACGTTGGCGTGGACATAAAAGATCCTTGGCAGTCGGAATTAGATATAAGAGTAGTCAGTAGGCCATAGTGCCTTTCTCGGCCAACAGGTGGACCGAACCCGCGATCTCCAGGTTAGCGAGCCAGCGTCTTACTCATTTATCCACCATGTCTCAGTTCATGTCTAGAAGACCTCATACCAGATTTGGTTTATCAGAGATGTTCGAGCAGCTAACCGTTTTTTCGTTTTACAATAGATCTGTTTAAATTATATTCTACCTTTTCAGGGATGCATTGATGTCGATATTTTGTAAAGGACCGGAACAAATCTGTTTGAAGCTCCTGGAGATTCTTCCAGACTCGTGGTGGTCAGATCTATCAGCAGAGGAAGCTTATGATGTGATCTATACAAGCACTATTAGGAATGATGACTTTTCGACACATCTGCTAAGTTCTTTAACTGAGTCTTGTTCATTTGCTCTACCCAATGTTTTAAGCATCCAAGACAAGCATAAGAGAAATTTGCTCCATTTTTTCTGCGCTCAGGGAAGACAGGGTATCATTAGAAAAGTACTCAGTCAATTGACAAATTGCGATTTTTGCCGAGTGGATACGATTTTGAATTCTCCAGATTCGTCTAAAGCGACTCCATTATGGTATGCGCTGGCATGGCACCGATGGGACGTTTGTCAAATGTTGATTCTTAACGGAGCAGTTCTTCATAAAACACGCTTTGTTCCGTTGTTATATACCAGAAAAATGTTCCACGTTGAGAAACATATTTCAAAAACGGCCAGTCCTGGCATTAAAGGTGGTGTTTATCGAGCCCAGTGTCAAAGAAATAAATCATTTGATGCTGATTGTGTTCTGGGCTCACGGGGACCGTTTTTCGATCAGTTATATCGAAGAACAACCAATGTATACACGACTTTTACTGACAAAGCAGCCATCATCCCCATTGACAAAACCGATAACGAAATCATTTCATTCAACAATACCGGAAGTTTCCCCAATATGCAATATTTGTTAAACCTGATGTTTCAAGCACGTGATAAAAACGTTTCCATTTTCCATATAGCTGTTGGCACCGGAGACACTGCATTAATTTCATCAATACTAGAACAACCTCTGTCCCGATACTGTACACAAAAATCAAAAATATCATCAATGGCATTCTCTCTTGTAAATAATAGAGATGACATGGTTGGTGTGTGTAGAGGATTCGGAATTTGCAATTACTTCAGGAATATCATCATTTATCATGCCTTGGCATCCATAAATCTGACCTCAGTAGTAGAAATGATCGCAAAAACAACCAAGCGTTATCAATGGAATATTTCAACCATTAATCCGTTGCGTCTACAACTTGAGCAACTTGTATCAGTTGAAAAGGATGTCCGTTCTCTGTCACTTTTTCCGACACGCGACCATCCACAGACGATCAGTGTTAAACTTTTGCTGAATTTGATCCAAGAGAACTCTTCGGCACATAATGATTTCTTGTCCAACTCGTTCCTGTTAGCTGCAGTAATCACCGGACAACCATGGTGTTTTGATGTGATAAACAGTGTCTGTAAATCAAAAGCATATTATGGAAGTATCATTTGCCGACCCCTCGTGGCTGACCTCCACATGGTAGATCTCCTGTTCCTGTTTGCCCCTGCTGATAAAACTAGTTTCCATGGAAAGAAAGATATTGGTGCCAGGATTCAGTGTTTGGAGAGATTAACCGATTGTCATCTAGACATCGCTCTGCACCAGAAAACACTAGAGATCATCAAAGACAAGCGTATTTACAATATGGTAGTGCCAATGTTACAAGCAGGAGCTCTGACGCGTGAACAGAAAGACGATGAGCTGTGGTTCGCGTTGGTCACTGAAGCAGCTGGTCTTGGTTATACTGAATACGTTATCCTCATGTGCAATGAATATATAACTGAAAGCAGTTTTACTCCTGTCTTCCATCGATTGATATGTTTAAGTGCATTAAGAAAATACCAGGACATGTTCAGTAAATTATTGGAATATGGTGTACGCCTGGACTTCCTACAACCTGTGGAACATATCTGCAAACAAAATGGTGACAAAAGTCTGTCTATATTTGAGTGTACTGTCATAAGTGGTGTCGTTTCTATGGTTAGCGATATAATAAATAGACTACAAACTAACGGCATGGTGGACATATCATCTCTTAGACCATGTCTGGAGTTTGCGTACGCAAGAGGCAATAAGCAGATCTGTGATTTATTGGAAAAATTCACGATGTCGGTGTCAAGAAATATCATGTCTATAGACTTTTGCCTCAAACTGTTCTCCATTGCTGTTCGAAAAGGTAATGAAGAAGTCTGCATATCGTTACTACATTCGCGGAATTTAAATGTTATGAATGCGTCGGTATCTGGAATGAACAACTTAGACTATGCTTGTATGTACGGAATGAAGACTGTTGTGGACGAAATGATTCAGAATGTACAACCCAGTGAGCTCAATTCTGTTAATGAAGACAAGATGAATGCATTGGATTACTCCAGAGCTTTCGGACACATTGAACTATCCACAGATCTGGTGGAGACATACAGAGCACGATCATTTCAGGACAGTAGAACATTGATGCATTATGGGTGGCTGAGCCACTGTCTGCGTCAAAATAAGAATTTCCCTCAAAGGAACAATCCCAAGCATCTATACATCAAACAAGAACGACAACCACTGACATTAGTTACTCTAATTCGACTTGGAGATGATAGTGGTGCCGTTAGTTTTATTAAGGCCGCCCCAGAGACTGTCGTTTCTAGTTTAGAGAAGAACTACAAGAAATACCCACTACTTCATCTTTGCTCCAGGTACAACTGCCCTGAAACGTTGAAATTGTTATTCGAGTCATTCCCAAAATATTCCGTTAATGATCTCAAGTCATGGAGCCTTCTTGAACATAAAGGACGTACTGCTCTAGCAGTCGCCGTGGAATGTAACGTGGTGAACATAGCCAAAATACTGAATACAGGGGATGCGCTGGAGTGGAGATTTCGAAATGGTGAAACTGTTTTTCATTGGGTGGCTAGGTATGGCAGTTTAGAAATGGCTGATGTATTAACCGAGAATATTTCCTCTGATGTTTTGAGTCTAAAGGATCAGTGTGGGTTGACTCCTGCAGCAACAGCTGTAGCTTGTGGTAATCAGCATATACTACATTTGTTATTACCAACAGATACTTTTGAAGGAAGTTGCCATGGTGACCACAAAAAGACCGTATTTGATTGTGCCGAATGTTTGTTAGATTTCTGTATCGGATGGTTCAAACATGCGCAGACGGGAAGACAAATACACCCACAAATTCTAAATAGGAACATTCACAATTGCTTTAAAACGGTTGTCGGATTTAGAGCCCATAGAAAAAAAGGAAAAATGGTTTACACGCATCCATTAGCGAAGTTACTTATATGGGGCCAGTGGTCAAAATCGGACATCTTGATTCAAAAGGCATTAAATTCAATGGGTTACCCAGCACATACAATTCTAGCAAAGATGTTCTTGTTCAGAAGTAAACTTGGGGACGATGAATCTGTTATGACAATCGCCCTACGTAAACATATGACGGATGTGGCTGTACATATTTTAAAAAAAGGATACCCATTTAGTACGGGTCAGTTGAGTGAAATGATTGTTAATTCAGTAGGGAATCATATGAATGACCTTGTTCAAACTCTTCTTGAACTCCAGTACCCTCTTCTGACAGCAAGAAACACAGTTGGATGTTCGGTTCTTGATGCAGCTTATGCAATGGGCAACCATACAGTGATAGAGCTATTTGAATCAAAAATGAAACCCGATGAACGATCTTCCCATCTTTCGATACTTCCTCAAATAATGGGCCATGTCTCAACTCTGATTAGGTGTCGAATTAAACCAGGCGGGAATTCAACAAATGAATTTAGTCCAAGGACGGCTGGGCTGTCCATATTTGACATGTACAGGATCTTACCTCAACATATTATGACCGAATTCTTTAACAATTTGAACATGGTTCATAATGGATTAATATTAGTTCCGGTAAAATTGTTCAACAAAGATGTTTTCATTGATTCGGAGACTACTGGAAAACGGGCTGCTAATCTCGACACTACAAAGCAGAATGTCGTGTCAATTATTTTGTCCAAACTCGTATTGGGTAGGTACCCGAAGAGACAGCACAAGTCTTGGGGAAGGTTTGATAAAGTTGTGATAGAATGTCTACCCAAAGATAGCCCTGAAGATGCTTCATTAGCAGTAGAGGATGGCATCCTGCGAGATAGAATTAAAATTCACTGGAATGAAGCAATCCAAAAGTTAACAGTAGAAACAGCAGATGTCGTGAGTGGTGTTGCAGATGAAATGCGTCACAGAAAAATCATCAATGATATCATGATACCCAAATTGAACGAACAGGTAAGTCTTTAACCTAATTCTCTACCAGTCAAAATTCCGCTTTGGACAAAAAAGGCAGGACTCGTTAAAGGGACAATAACACTCTTGCTGGCTTGAAAGCTCCGGGAAATAAATAATATCTCTATCTAAGTACTAGATGTTTAAGTGTCCTACCTGTTGTGTAAATTAACCATTACATCCTATTTTACTTGTCGAGAGGGTACGAAAATATTTTGAAATCGAAGTTTCATTTGAAAAGGTTTACGTTAGACGTTTCAAACCATTATGTTGAGTTTTTCAAAATTTTTAAATAAGGTGTGTTAAGATGAAATTTGTATCATCAATTAATTGGAATATTGTAAAATAGTACAATTTGTTGACCAGAATAAAGATTGGGACATATTATTCAGTTACAACAAGAGTGGTATTGAGCCTTTAACAAATGTAACGTGGAAGAGGACGCAATCTGAATAAAATACACATCTATATTTCGTTTCGTTTTTTTTTATACTTTCGATGGCCTACACCACATGAAGATCTGACCGGTGGTAGTGGAAGGTCGCGTCAGAGGTCGTACGAACGGCTTTCGACCCTATGACGTCAGACATTGATTAACAGACGGTTTCATTAGCTAATCCGCCACGCCATCCCTAACGAGGTTGGGCGTGCGACTCTACTCCTTGTCCGGTTTCCTTCCATTGCTAAAGACCCCTAGGCGCAAGCGAATTATTGAAATAAAATTGAACCATATGTTAGTATGGAAATGACGAAGTTTGTGTCGAGTGGACGTTACCCCTCCCCCCCCCCCCCTGCTCTCCTCCCTCTCTCCCTCCCTCAGTCTCTCTCGCTCTCTCTCGCTCTCTCTCTCTCTCTCCCACTCTCTCTCCCTCTCTCTCTCTCTTCAGAAAGAGGTTTTGCTATATTATTTTAAATTTTCTTTCAGATTAAGATGCATCTGCCGAATCTTCGACTTGATGTAAGAATCGACTGGTCTTCGATTGATAATATAACCAATATGGAGGAGAGAGAAAGTGTAGTTAAGGCATTGGTTACAGAAGATTCAACAAATCCACTGTCAAGATTAACTAAAACTGCTGCAACCTGTGGACAGTTGATACAAGACATTTCATCGATGCTGAACAAGGCCTCGACCCAATTCGTAATCCGTATCTTTAAATATGTATCTAGCATCACCGTCCAATATGCACCAGGAGAAGATATTATAGAAAATTTTAATCTAGATCCAGCAGACACCCTAATCTGGAAATTCGATTTGAACAAATCCGGTTCAAGGTTCCTTTTATTAACAATCCTGGAAGTTTGTCATTCTGCTTGTGTTGGTATTCTTGATGGCCTTATTAAGTTGTCACGATCACCAAGATGCATAAAAAGAACAAAATCCCAAATTTCGAAAGCCAAAAATAAGAAAAACAAAATGAAGGTGAATATAGACTGGAACTCGTTTTCTAAAACTCAAAATGCTGCTGATTTATTTACATTATTTCGGCAATGTGTAAGTCTACAGCTATCACGACTGGGCGCAACATATGACGCCCTGTCATATCTGGACTTGGATATTGATGAACTGTTTATAACAACAGCCCCTGCACCTGATCGTGCAGGACTGGAATATAATCACAAAATATTAACAGTTATGATTTATATCTACAATCCAAACGAAGGCACGTGGATGACAACGGAGATTGACTTTAAATCTAAGCTGGTAGAATTACAAGCAGATCAGTTGATTGCAGATTGGTCCACAAAGACAGGACTTCAGGGAAGACGTCAACAGTTTTTCAAATCAGTTGAGTCACTTCACACTAGCACTGGTGTTGACGTCTCTGTGAAATATCCAGAAAAAGAACTGCTGAGCTTTATTTGTACACAGAAATATATGGAAATGGCAACCCCCTTTAAGCAGGTGCACTATGAATTACGACATATAGCATCCGTTATAAGAGATGGCCTTGGGAAAGAATTGACACCATATCTTGAATGTTCAAATTGCTTTTGGAATCTTGGAAAATGTGATGCCAAGGCGGGTAAATGGTGCTGGATAACATCAAACGAGACCGATTCAGTCCCTTTATCAACCCAGCTTTTAATATTACTCAGGACTAAGCTTAATAAAATCGTCCTTAAGACCGTTACCAAGGATACCCTGACAGACGTTATAAAAGTTAAACCTGTTTTGATTTGGATTCATGTGGACTCATTTCCTTCTAATATAGACGGTAATTGGAAGGAGAGGTTCCAAATAGTTATTGTTAATGGTCAAGTTTTCTTTGTTTCCGATGCTGAGAAAGCTTTGAAAATTTATGATCGTCTACCAAAGACTTTTGGATATCCATTTTCACAGGAGGATTCTGATGTTGTTATAAAGACATACAACGCTTTATCTGACACCATCTTTCTAAAAGATAAATATACAAACCAGAGTCACAAGCTAACCAATGCCCTGTATTATTGCAGGTGGTTGAGCACGGCACAGCAGGGACACAGGCTGTCTTTCGAAGGCATAGATATGGAATCCTTGAACGAATTAGATATTTTGGGTATCAGGGATATATTGTCCGACCGTGATTCTTACATTAAGAAAAATATATCTCCTCGCGGATCTGTTACTGTTCATGTTGATGGAGGTACTTCTGGAAATGATGCTTCTGTGGGTCATGATATCCAGGCTACTCCAGAAGGGGATGTTTGTATTAATGTCTTTAAAATGAAAGAAAATGAGATAGTTGCTGATACTGAAGTGTCAACCGAAACTCCACCTGGTCTATTAGCAGACTATGATGACTGCGATGTTCCAATTGAAAACAATGAAACTAATGACGATTACAGATTAAAACTCAGAATTAAAAGAAAACCAATGAGAAAGAATATACCGTTAATTCCACGCATTGAACAGAAACTAAGTAAGAATAAGTAAGTATTTCCTTTGTATCAAAAGAACTTTGTTGGTGGCTCTGCTGGTGACCATTGGCGTCGGAAACGCTGTATACATGTATATTTGTGACTTCGCTTGTCTGTCTGTTCGTCTAATCAGGGTTGGTGGCTACACTAGGCCTACCCGGAAACAATCTGATAAAGATACGGATCTATATTTCGTTTCGTTGTTTTTATACTTTCGATGGCCCACACTACATGAAGGTCTGACCGGTTGTAGTGGGAGGTCGCGTCAGACATTGATTAATCATTCAGCGTTGACGTTTCTAATGATTTACCCACAGCTCCGTGCACCTCACGCCAAAAACTCGCCGTAACAGACCATTTCATTGGCTAACCTAACATCATCCAGAACGCGGGTTATATAACAACTCTTCCAGATCATAGTGTAGTAAAGACAAGTAAAACGAATTTTTAAACTATAAAAAAAAAATAAACGAAAAAGGATCTGCGTTTTAATCAAATTTGCGCCGAAATTGAAATTGGGGTATAAAGACAACTTGGGCAGGGTAGGGACAAAGACCTTCGAGTTTTAGGAAACCCCTATAAAGAAGCGTCACAGGACTCCACCCATGCAAACATCTAGTTATTTTCATAATTCACAGTCACTTGGTAGTTGTAGTGGTCGAATTTGTAGGCCTATAATGAACTATTCATTATTATTTTTGTTATTTTAGAAAGGTTTTGGAGAGAGTGACATCTAAGTTATTGGATGTAGCTGGAATTGGAAGCACTGCTGTAATTCATAAACTGCTAGATGTAGGCGCAAACATCAATGCTGTGGATTTGGTAGGTTTCGTTTACTGGCCATTTCAATGATAATGGATTTAATTTTGATGAATCCCAGTATTTGACGAATATTGCCAACATGAGGTGGTCTTATATGCTATATAAAAAGTTACCTGGTTGTTTCCAGATCAATCGGATTAAAATACACATCTATATTTCGTTTCGTTTTTTTATACTTTCGATGGCCTACATTACAAGTAAAACGAAATTTTGAACTATAAAAAACGAAACTAAATAGGATCTGTGTTTTAATCTGATTGTGTTTGGTAGATATTAAATCCCATTTATTTGTTTCTCACCCATCGGAAGTATTTATATCCATAAACCTATACATTATCCGTTGTTTTGTTTTACAGAATGGGTGTACACCATTAATACTGGCTGCTAAATCAAGTCAATATGTGGTGGAGAAATTGTTGTTATCTAGAGGCGCAGATGTCAATATCCGTGACGAGGTTTGTTCTTGTTTACTTCATCATAACCCGATCTAAAGTTCCATTTATTTTCCATTGATTTCAAGGCGTCATCTTTTTGTGTCTTAAAACAATAACACTCTTCTATCCAGGAACATCGAGGCCCAGATTTTTTATTTAATCGCCTAGAATTAATATCTAAATAACATCTTACAACCTTTTTTTTTTTAAAGACAAATATGGAAAATATATTTTAGCTTGCTACGGCACTGGAGCGTTAACACTGGAAAGACGCGTGTTAATCTATCACAGTTTGAAGGATAATTACTTGATCGGTTCTTGACCTTGGTCACATTTAATTTTTTGTAAATTTTCTAGTACTTGAAGGGGGGTTGGATGGCCGAATGGTAAGCAAGTGCGCGCTGTATCATAAAGCCTGTCATTGAGTCAACTGGCGTGGTTTCGAATCCCCGGTTGTACGTGACAAGGAGTAGGGTCGCCTGTCCAACTTTGTGGGTTTTCTCCGGGTCCTCCGGTTTCCTCCCCGAAATGACCTAGTTTGTGTCGAGTGGACGTTAAACTTCATTTCTCCCTCCCTCCCTCCCTCTCTCTCTCTCATCTTGAAAAAATATCCCAGTGCAACAACCACGGACAACTTTACTGCTTGTTTCGTTGCCTGGTGACTTTCTTTCATGGGAGATGTCTGGCATCGTTTGAAGGCTATTCCATTAAATGGACATTATGGGAGATTAGATAAAGAGCTGGCAGTTCTCACAATAATAGATAAAAATAGATAACGTAAAAAGAATATGCTGAATATTTCAGTCAAATTGATCCACTCTGAACCGAGATATTAGCTTTTGAATTTTAGGCCTAGTCTCGATCATCATTACTAAAGTCGGCACAATAAAAAAAAACAGGGTCTCGATTATCCATTTTTGGATTTAATCATTAATGAGCGTTGAGCAGCAGATCGGTTTTAAATCCAGTAAATATCGCAGGCTAGCGATAACATCGAGAGTTGATTATGGTCTGGATAAGTTAATGTTAATTAATTAATAATTTAGATGTGGGCGTATCCTGCCTGGCAGCCGCTGGTTGGATTTAATCATCAATGACATGGATAGTTGATTATGGCCTGGATCAGTTAATTAATGTCTAATTAATAATTTAAATAGCATTTCAGGCCTAAAGAGAGACCTGAAATAAGCAGATTTAGCTCTTGTATAATGTATGTTTAAGATCCCCGTAATTCGTGGCAAAATTTTATTTCAAAATTGAATTCTAATTCAAAGTTTCATCTTCTTTTCACAGCGTCGATGTTCGGCATTACACTATGAAGCAGGAAAGGGTAATTCTGATTCTGTGTTGCTATTGGTAACGCATGGTGCTAAGGTTGACGCCAAAGACAAGGTAGATCCCCGACATTTTTAATTTTACATTCTATTTGTATTTAATTTTTAAGGCTCACAAGAATAGTTTAGATGGATAAACTGTTGTATTTTTGTTAGGAGTTTTAAAAGTATAAATGATACACTCCTTGTAATATCAGACATATTGCTTGAGGATACACATGTTCCTGAAGCAACGACCATGAGCTTCACAACATCTAGCCGTTGCTTCAATACTCAACAATTCCCGAATTTTTGCGCTCGCTGTGTTTACACGTGACTAATTAGCATTGTCCAATCAGAGGTAGTGGCACATAACACACTGTAAACAAATATGGCGGCCTCCATAGGAAAATAAATAGACAAGTTTACAGCCATGATTTTTAGCAACCTTGACATTGATTGAACCTTGACCGTTGCAACTCGATTGTCACCTTAGACATTTTAGCTAGAAGCGCGAGACTTGATAATCGTAACCATATTTTTAACGACGGAATCTGATAGGATCACAAGCTGGGCTTATACCCAATCGTAATTAGTGCTAAAATATGCGGGGTATTACGTGAAGGGCTTGATAAGATGTACGTAGTTAAGGCGAGATCAAGCCTTCTATTGAAGATGGAGGATACACATCTAGAATGTCTAGATTCTCAAGTGCAAAACCAATTTGATGAAAACACAGATCCTTTTTCGTTCCGTTTTTTTTTAGTTCGTTTTTTTTAGTTCGTTTTTTTTAGTTCGTTTTACTTGTATTTACTACACTAGGATCTGGATGAGATGTTATAGAATCCGTGTTTAGCCGATGAGACGGTCTGTTGCAGCGAGTTCTTTGTGTGCGATGCACAGAACTGTGGGTATCCTACTAGAAACATCAGCGCTGATTGGTTAATCAAATGTCTGACGTCATAGGGTCAAAAGCCGCTAGTATGACCACTGACGCGACCTCTAACTACAACTGGTCAGACCTTCATGTAGTAGAGGCAGTTTAAAGTATAAAAAAACAAAACGAAACGAAATATAGATCTGTATTTAAATCAGATTGGGGTAAAATGGGCGGGCCTGACACAGTGTGTCTAGTCATTTAAATCGGGTAAAAACCTGAAGTTCTATGTGCACTTTGGTACTACACGTAAAAGATGTCAGTGGGATCGGTAATGTTGGGTATTAAAGTTACAATTTCATATTTTCTAAGAAAGTCAAAACATAATTATTTCTATGTCTTTTGCTCAATAGGTTGTCAACTCACTATTATACGATCATAGGTGTCATTCGCACACTTACAAATCTTCACACTGGAAATAATAACACAATTACCTTCCAATTACCTCCCTTGTTTTCTTTTCTCCACCATGGAGTAGCTATCTTCAAACGTTTGAATTTGAAAATGAAAATGATATTTTTGCCAATTTCTCAGCTGGCAATAGTGAATTATAGGATTTATAGGTTTATTCTTTAACAAGGTACGACTGTTTAAAGATACCATCTATTTTAAGGCTTTATTTTAATAAATTTTAAAAATATAACTTAAAGATATGAAATTGCAACTTTAAAGCACATATTTTTCTAAATACGAAACTGTTTGTATTATCGGTTATTTTTTTATCATATAAGAATTACCTAATTTACACGAAGGTATATATACATGCCATGTAATTGATTGTATTTCAGCTTGGATGGACTCCATTACGATATGCTATAAACAACAGCCATCTAACCACTGCTGATATGTTAGTTTTCTGTGGAGCTGATGGAACTATTGTTGATAAGGTAGTATTCGTTATACCTTACTTAATATAAATCATCATCATGTCTTCCTTCTATGTCTGGTTCTACTCATTTTCTAATTTATTTATAAATTGGAGGTGAGGGGGGTCACCGCAGTTGACTCACTGACAAACCTTATGATGCGACGCGCACGCGCTAAGCACCCCCCCCCCCTCCCCACAGTGGTGCAGAGCGGAGGACGTAGGTTTCGTGTACCCATGCGTAAATGAACCCTTGACGTTAGGAATTTCCTTCAAAGCACACGAGATTGCGGATGTCCGTCATCATTATCCCGATTCTTGGAGGATGTTAAACCCCATTTTATTTCATGTCAACAATTCAATTTGCCATGTAAACGCACGATACTGGATGTTTGTTCGATCTGGAAAATATCTTTCCATGTTTATACTCACAATTCTAACCCTAACCCTTCGGAATAGTTTTACCCGCAATCCATTGTGTTTACAGCTTCAATTTGCACTTTTGACATGTAAATTGTAAACCTAGCCCTAACCCTAACCCTAGAAAGATATTTTCCAGATCATACAATGATCTAGTATTGTGCCATGTAAACAGCAGTTTATGTTGTGAGATATCAGTGTCTCAATGATAGCAAATTGTGGGATTTCCCTATCCGGATTATTTTCTTTCCTTACGAAGTGTGCCTTTGTGGCTTCATGTCAAATATCTGAATGTTCACAGGAATAATAAACCGCATCTTACATCCTAACATGTATCTTAGACATAACAATGGTATAATTATTTGATTGGAATGCACGTAAAAGATCCCTTGGCAGTTGGAATTTGATATAAGAGTAGGCGATAGTGCCGCTGCCCGGGCAAAATTTCCCTCATAGCACACTGTATGGCGTATGCCCGTCTTCATTAGCCCAGTTTAGGAGCAGAACAGTAGGACGTTAAACCCCATTTCATTTCATTTCATTTCATTGCATTTGATATTACAGAAGAAAGAATCACCCATACATGTATGTGATGACCCAGCTACATTAAAATTGATGAAGGAAGGTGAAAGAACTATTTATGGTTTTAAACATGGGTAAGGAAATCTTTATAAATAATATCAAAATACTACTCTTTAGAATTCCCAGGTCATTGGTAAATTATAATTCCAACGCGCATGACCTTACTAAAAAGCATTGGGCAAACCTCGGCAGACTTCGATACCGTAATTTAACCTCGGCTGTATGACGAATTCCGCCATTGGAACTAATTTCAAGTCCCCGCCCATGAAGACGCCTGCCGTGAAGAGTGTTTTATCTCAAGAAACTGTACCTAGTTGGTTATGTACGTCGAATAGCAAACGCTTACAAGGACAACTTTGCAATGAAAACTCAACACACTCTTCGAACGCCGCCATTGTGAGAACTTCTTTCTGAAAGCGGCCAGTTTTCCCTATAAGTAAACCGGTAGCCGCATCACAATTGTAGCTACATATCACTTACCGTCATACAGCCGAGGTTAGATGTGGGGTACCGGAGGCTGTCGAGGTTTGCCGAATGAGGGGGCAAACTATCATACGAGTTTGTGACATTTGAAATTTCGGGACTTTCAATAGGTGTGAAATATTGTATTGGGAATTTCACTCATCATCTTACTGATAGGTATGGTGACCCTTTTGGATTGTAAGGTTACCAACGGTGTTTGTCTTTCATAGTAGTTTTTAAATCCATTTAGCTTACAAAGGCGAAGTTGGCAAAAATGTCAGAAGTCAAAAAAAGAGTTAAGCACACCCTGTATACTAGAATTTTGGTTTCAAAATGACATAACTATTTCATTTACGAAAACGTTTTTTACTCCATTCTTTTCTCCTTATTATTTTAACAGGTTGGTAACGACTGAGTTTGCTATACTTGAAGCAGGAAAATCACAGAAATTATGGAAGATCAACCTCGCATTATCAATCCCATCGTCTCTTGGAACCGGTGCTATATATTTTATCTGTCGACGAGTGCAACCGGAATATTGTCGGCCATCTTTAAAACCTGTTGAAAAGGAATGGTTTTTGAGTGACGTGTTTGAATACAGATGGACTGGCATTCATCTCAAAGACTACATCACCGTCTCCATCCCAGCTTATTCAAAAGCAGACGTCTTTGATGACGTATATCTGAAGACAGATAAAGGGATTTGTGAGGAATGTCCTGTTGAATTTAAACAAGATGGCGATGAGGTATGGCTTCGAAATCACAAATGAACGAAACAACACCCCTGAGCATCTTTAACTATTAGAAAATATAGACAGCAGTATATCTTTACGTCCTGTTCATTCAGATAATACTCTATCCCGTGGGTGGATGGCCGAATGGTTAGCGTCTGCGCGCTGTACCATAAGGTCTTTCATTAAGTCAACTGGCGTGGTTTCGATTCCCTGGTTGTACGTGACAAGGAGTAGGGTCGCCTGTCCGGGTCCTCCAGTTTCCTCCCACCGCTAAAGACCCCTACTGGCAAGCGAATTATTGAAATAAAATTGAACCATACGTTAGTCCCGAAATCCGAAATGAACTAGTTTGTGTCGAGTAGACGTTAAATCCCATTTCCTTTATTTAAGCTTATATGCAGTTTTTACACTTCTAAAATAATATGTTCTTCTAATTGTAACAATATTCTCTGTTATAGCTAGTGTTGTAGCTTCTAATTTGCCCGGTTATAATTAATCTAAACTCTTCTCTGTTATAGCTTCAGCCTGTCCAGTTATAATTGATCTTAAATCCCTCTTTTATATGTAACTTCAGCTCTTATATGTAGCTTCTGTTCTGTCCAGTTACAGCTGACCTTAAATCTGTTCGTTAATAGTTTAAATATAGCATCAGTTCGAGCAACTCGAAATTGATCAAATATTTGTTCTTTTGTTCTTTTGTTCTTTTACAGTTTATATGTATGTTCTGGTCTTTTGTAGTTTATATGTAGCTTCAAGATCAGACTGGTTGATATGAACGCCTTTGTTCTGGTAGCTAGACCAAAGACTGACAGGTTCCTGCTAACACCAGAAGGAAGAAAGTTTACATCAGCAATCGACCATTTGGTACAAGTCGACGTTGGTCCTGGATCAGTTCATCAAAATGGATACCTTTATTTAGAGGTGAGTAGAACGTACCCTTCAGTTTTACAAGCCCAAGAGGGAGGTTGGATGGCCGAATGGTTAGCGTGCGCGTTGTATCATAAGGTCTTTCATTGAGTCAACTGGCATGGTTTCGATTCCCCGGTTGTTATACGTGACAAGGAGTAGGGTCGCCTGTCCAATCTCGTGGGTTTTCACCGGGTCCTCCGGTTTCCTTCCGCTGCTACAGACCCCTATGCGCAAGCGAATTAATGAAATTAAATTGAACTATGTGTTAGTCCCAAAATGACCTGGTTTGTGCCGAGTGGACGTTATGTTAGTCCCGAAATACCCCCCCCCCCTCTCTCTCTCTCTCTCTGTTCAGTTGATTGAATGTATAAAGTATTATGCTATTTTTACATGTATATATAATATTTTGAAAAGGGACAACGAAATACCAGTATCGTTGTTCAGAGTCCTTTCGAAGCTGATAATAGGCTATTGTCACCTGGAAACGGTGCATTAGAGAAACATTATATGTAACATTTATATCAAGAACTAGCCATTCTTGCTATAATAGTTCAAAAATAGATAACGCAAAATTAATATATTGAAAATTTTCATTCAAATTACTTTATTCTGAGCGAACATATTAGCATTAATTGTAACCACCGTACTGGTGCTTCGAAGCTTAGCCTTCTTACTATCTTAACAACATCAATTGTCTTTACCAAAGAAGACGCCCAGGTTGCCTCTACCAGTTAGAGTAGGTCACAGGCCCATGTTTCCCGCCCACTGCCCTCTTCTGGTCTTGTTGTAGCTAACTACAATATTTTCTGTTATTTTTCAGGTCATCCCAAAGCCGGAAGTAAATGAAAATGAACTTGGTAATGTTTTATCATTCTCCCACTTCTATGAGTTGAGTCACTCAGAAAACCTTCTACTACCCTTTGACCTCAAAGTGACCTTGCCCTTACCTATAGATTATTTTGGAAATGGCGATCTGTATGTGTTGGCTAGCACCATCGAGAAAGTTGGCTCTGAGGAAGAGATAACCAGTCGTATTATCCAATCAAATCCAATTACTACTGGCGGTGTTGTAACATTTATGTTGTCCGTACCTCAGTTCACTTGGTAAGTATGATCGAACGTGGGAGCCACGGTGGCTAAGTGAGTAAGACGCTGGCTCGCTAGCCTGGAGGTCGCGAAAATTCATCGGAATTTTTCGGTGTGCTTTCCCCTTGGCGGTGCTTCAGGACAGAGGGTCTGACAAAGACAGCTCTCTAGTCGTTCGGATGAGACGAAAACCCGAGGTCTCGTATATATACATATTGGCGTGCACGTAAAAATTCCTTTGGCAGTTGGAATGGATATAACAGTAGGCTGTAGCGCCGCTGTCCAGGCAAAATTGCCCTCATAGCACACGGTATGGCGTAAATATCGCAGGCTAGCGATGTCTTCGAGAGTTGATTATGGTCTGGATAAGTTAATTAATATCTAATTAATAATTTAGATAACATTTCAGGCCTAATGAAAGACCTGCAATTGGCTGATTTAGCTCTTGCATAATGTATGTTTAATCGATATTTCCAGTTGTAATTTATTGGAGTGGTGTAATAAACCAGAAGACATGTGGCTTGACAGAGAACAAATTGTCATCGATACAAACATTAAACTGCTGCAAAAAGCACGGAGACGGGGATACAGTGCTGTCTTCATGACTCTCGTCAAACCAGCTGAAGCTGCTCAAAATGCTGGAACTGATCATGATGCTGAAACGGTTGTCGAATGCGCAAGAAACAACAATGTATACAGCCGATTGCGTCATTGGGAGAACCAGGGTTTCAAGGCTCAAGTTCCAACCTTCACCAAAGAAGTTTGTGTGTACCCAGAACAGGAATTCGAGTTGGATATTGAAGGAAACGTCTCCAAAGTCGGTCATACAGAGCAGAGACTACAGTTCCATCCTTATCGTAAGAATTTTCACAAGATGCGAGTGAGTGTAAATGACTCCGAGAAGGATCAGCAAGGCTGGGTAGATGTTCGTACGCAACGTTTAAAATCACTTAGAAAAAAGAAAGCACCGCCGCCAGGTGCCCCTCTGGCTAAAATGATGATTGATCTATTAATAAATAAACCAGATCAAGCAGAAGTTAAAGCCAAATGGAAGACATTCCGTCAAGCGGAAATATCGAAGGCTAGTTCATCAGGGACTCCAGCAATAACAGATCATTCGGAAGATAAAATTCATACTCCTTTTAAAGGTAATGCTCATTCATACTTGTGAGGCACGCATCATAGGCTAAGTGAGGGGGGCGTAATGGTTTTGAGTTTTTGGCAAAAATCACGCGGTTTCAATGCGGTTGTCAATATTATAATCATAATCATAATGTTCAACCAGTATCAAACATATACCGTGGATCAGATATGCTACAAATCCACTCTAGCATGTTTCATCCGGCGGCATGTATACTCCATGTATACTCTTCAAAAAAAATAGGGGATATTGAAATGCAAATAAATATGTAGGTTGTGATATGATAAATAGTCATGGACACTTGACATGTTCACAGATGGAGAACTTATCGCCCCAACAGAACCACTGAGTTGCGACACGCAATAGCGCCATACACGTGGGAGGGGTTCATTGTAAAATTTGACACTTCAAGGAAGGGTTGGTGAAAACTGCCGCTTGCTGGTTTATCCTCTCCGTGTTTGCTTTCCTATCGGTTCTTGCATAAGATTTACTGTTTAGCGCATCTTTGCTTTAGTGTGTTACGTTTAATTTGATCGGGAGACGTGTTCGTCGACGTCAACGTCAACCGACAACACTGCAGGAATTGGCCGTGGCATTGCAAGAGGAGTGAGTCAGATTGCCCCAAATCGTGATTGGACGGTTGATTAGGAGCATGCCACGACGAATTGCCGAATGTGTGAGGATTGGTGGAGCAATTACTCATTATTAAGACAAAAATCAAAACCGTTCATTTTCACTTTGGCGGTGTATCTCTTTGCGAGTGAAATGGGGCCTTCAGATAAGCCGCCCATATGTACTGTTTATGTTCATGTGTAGGCAATTGGCCTGTTATTAACATACACTGGTTACCTCTAATAAAAACAGCAGTGCATTTCCACAGTTTTGTATTGTTTCTGAATATCACCTACTTGTTTTTGAAGAGTATATATCGCGCTAATTCCATATATAGTCGTGCTCACAGTGCTACAAAAACACAACCACTCTTGAAAATATTTCTTAAATAAGTAAGTTTTCAATCTGGATTTAAAGGAGACTAATGATGGACTGGAACGAAGATTTTCAGGTAGCGAGTTCCACAAATTGGCAGCAACAACCTAATGAGCGAGCTTCAAAGGAGCTGAGTTTATATTTTTGGACAATAAGGTTGTTCTTAGTACTGGATCTTAGATTTTTCGATGGCATGTAAGGTACCACTAGTTTTCTCAGATAAGATGATCATATATATTATTTGTAGGTTTTATGACGGACAGCCTAGTGATGAAGCTGTCTAGAAGAATACGTTCAGGTAGCACAAGTTCTCTCTGATAAGATGATCATATATATTATTTGTAGGTTTTATGACGGACAGCCTAATGATGAAGCTGTCTAGAAGAATACGTTCAGGTAGCACAAGTTCTCTCTGATAAGATGATCATATATATTATTTGTAGGTTTTATGACGGACAGCCTAATGATGAAGCTGTCTAGAAGAATACGTTCAGGTAGCACAAGTTCTCTCTGATATGATGATCATATATATTATTTGTAGGTTTTATGACGGACAGCCTAATGATGAAGCTGTCGAGAAGAATACGTTCAGATTGGAAGAAAATGGGGCTATATCTGGGCCTAACAACTAAAGCTATTAAAAAGATACAGGACGACGCCGGACCTCGTGTTACTAGTCAAGATAGTTCATTCAAGGTAGGTAACCTATACAGTACTAAGGACGTGTTGAACTATCTCTAGACGAATTGGTCGGTTACGCGCTAGTTAGATTAAGTTGCGGACGTATTGGGAACGAGGTAGAACTAGTTAGGTCAAGTTGTGGACGTATTGGGAACGAGGTAGAACTAGTTAAATCAAGTTGTGGACGTGTTGGGAACGAGGTAGAACTAGTTAAATCAAGTTGCAGACGTATTGGGAACGAGGTAGAACTAGTTACGAACGAGTTTAAACTGACCACGGACGGGCTTGGAAATTGCAAATTTACCCGATTTGAACTTGATATGAACTGACTGCGAACGGGGTACAGACCAGATGGACGTACTGAGGACTGTTTATGCATGAACTAGGATCGTATTATATTTCACGATTTTCTATAACGGAGTAGGGCCTTTTTGAGAACTTGTTTGCACTTGTTTGGTGTGATCGGGGCTTAACCGCAGTTGTTACAAGAAATGTAGTTTAAGGGACAAAATAAGTCATTGTCAAGCATAATGCTCTGATATTTTTGCCAATATTAAAATTCTTTAACAATTGGCAACTGTCCCAAGCCATGATGGCGGCATATATTACAGACAGTCAGTGGTGCGGTGTGGAACGCCTGGCAAGGAATGTCCTCGGGGGGCGGATCCAGGAATTTTTGCAGAAGGGGGTTTGCCAGGCTCCTGAGAAATGTATCTTTGGGGCCGGCCTTGAAATGTTTGGGAAAATACATGTCTTTTTTTCACGTATACACATAGACACTGAGCGTTTTAAAGAAAAAACCTAACGCCCCGTTTGGCGGCAATTTTTATTATGAATGAATAGGATCAAATTGTGATTCGAGCACACGATCGTTACACTTTTCTTATAAAGAGGATTTTGTACAAAAGAAATTCTGTAGCTGACCGACTTCCCCAAATACTTTTTGTGACGGGGTTGTCGTTGCCCCCCCCCCACCCCCACACCACTCCCACACCACTCCCCAGGTAAGTAGTGAGGCATGGTATGAATACTCTTTCTAAAACACCTGATACTGCTTCTAAGTTATTTCATATTGTTCAATTGTCATTGAATTTATGTTTTTATAGATGTTTACGGTGTGGAGAAAAACGAGGAAACATCAGAGTGACGAAGGTTTACAAGAGCTGATGGTTGCTGTGAAATTATTGGGCAAGCCCGTGCTAATAGATGTTATAATGAATTCTATTAAGTCATGGTAGGTTCAGGGGAAAATAACTCTCTATCAGTACTTATAATACTAATGGTCGGAAACAAAGCCACGGACAACAGGTGGGTTCAACGCCTCGCGACACTCCGGTGTTCATCTCCGGTGAAGGTGGAGTAGCTTCGCTTGTCTTAAGCTTGTGTTTGCGCCGTGAATAGAAAATTGTTTAAACTCCAATTCGATTCTTCCCGATAAATATCTACCATAAATAAATTGAAATGGGATTTAACGCTCTGCTGTTCTGACCTGACTGGGCTAATGGCGGTGTTACGAACTACTCTTATATCGAATTCCAACTGCCAAGGGATCTGTCACGTGCACGCCAATGTGTATATCGTCCCACCCGGACGACTATACGTTGCCCCTTGCCAGGCCCTCTGTTTCGCACCATTGACAAGGGGGAACCACGCCGGAAAATCATGAGGAACTTTCGCGACCAACACCAGGATCGAACACGAGACCTAACACCTTAGAAATCTACCAGACCCGTCTAAATAGGTTAAATAATTTCTTGTAAATATATTTATTTTTTGTTGTTTCAGGCTAGAGGAAACAGAAGATCGGCAAAACAAGTTTCATTCTTGGCTAATGATCTTTAATTATGCTGTAGACTCGACGATAACAACACAAAAATAGACCCATGTATGTTCAGATAAAATTAAAGAAAAGGATATTGCAATTGATAATATTCAAGGAAAGGATATTGATAATATTATTAAAGGAAAGGGATATTGATAATATTGAAGGAAATGATATTGATATTGATAATATTAAAGGAAATGATATTGATAATATTAAAGGAAATGATATTGATATTGATAATATCAAAGAAAATGATATTGATAATATTAAAGGAAATGATATTGATAATATTGAAGGAAATGATATTGATCATATTAAAAGAGTTCTACCTGTTCGAATTGGGTCAAATTAAAGTGTTGCTTTGGATTGATGGGATGTGTGTTATTCCCATTAATCTGGACGATTAATTTTTAGTGTCGAAAGATTATAAGCGGGCGTTGGTTTGTTTACTATTTTTATATTTATTTTTGGGTTTACTGTGTTGATGTTGACACAATCATGAATACACAATAAATTTATCTCAAAATTAGCTTTATCTATTTTGGAACAGAGGATGTGACCATTTTAACCAATCTATTGAAATAAAAATTGAAAGGCTTCAAAAGAACAGAATTAAAATTGATGGTGGTGAAAATATTACAAAGCCCCATTTCTGTCATGTAAACTTATATAATTGATAGTCAATGTCGGTCTGTACAAGTGAAACGCCATTATCATGTTCATATAATATATTTTATTATAACTTAACTATTTTATTATGCAAATCATTTCAATATATCACCTATAAAATGTTTTTGTTCTTTTAATACTGGGGGATAAATGTTATAACATTATTATTTTTTACATTTTTTTTTACTTTTTAATAAACAAAATTCTTTATCAATCTAACTATCTGTGATATATTAAAATTATTTATTAAGTGTCTGACTTGTTTTATTTATCTGGGGATAACGGTTGCTAAGTGGGTAAGACGCTGGCTCGCTAGCCTGGAGGTCGCGTGTTCGATCCCTGCATTGGCCGAGAAAGTTCATCCAGATGTTCCGGCGTGGTTCGCCTTTGTCATTGATGCTGGGCGAAGGGCCTGACAAGGACAGCTGTCTAGTCGTTCGGATGAGACGAAAACCCGAGGTCCCGTGTACACAATGGCGTACACGTAAAATATCCCTTGACAGTTGGAAGTCGATATAAGAGTCGGCCATAATATAGTGCCGCTGTCCGGGCAAAATTTCCCTCATAGCACATTGAAATGTGGCCGCATATTGTCGTCGCCGCCGTCCGTCCGTCCGGCGTCCACAATTGCTTGTGGATGCTCTAGAGGCTAAAGCTAATATCCGATTGACTTTAAATTTATACACAGTGTTTAAAGTCATGGGACGAAGAAGCCTATTGATTTTCAGCGATTTCCGATAATTACTGCCAGAGTTATGGCCCTTGATCATTTCAAAAAATCTTGTGGACGCTCTAGAGGTCAAAGTTAATATCCGATTGACTTTAAATTTATACACAGTGTTTGAGGTCATGAGACGAAGAAGCCTATTGATTTTCAACGATTTCTGGCAAAGTTATGACCCTTGATCACTTTGAAAAATCTTGTGACGCTCTAGAGGCTAAAGTTATCATCGGATTGACTTCAGATTGATGCACAGAGTTTAAGATCTTGAGACGAACAAGTTTATTGATTTTCAATGAATTTTTATGATTGAACAGCTAAATCCATGATGTTTAAAGTTTCGTATACTAAACGTTAGCATGGGCAGGTCAATTCGAGACTAACATATGGTTCAATTTTTATTTTAATAATTCGCTTGCGCGTAGGGGTCTTTAGCAGTGGGAGGAAAACGGAGGACCCGGAGAAAACCCACGAGGTTGGACAGGCAACCCTACTCCTTGTCACGTACAACCGGGGAATCAAAACCACGCCCGTTGACTCAATGACAGGCCTTATGATACAGCGCGCACATGCTTACCGTTTGGCCATCCCCCCCCCCCCACCTCATCACAATACAACCCTGTAGGCTTCTCTAGAACCCCAAGCTGGCCGAATAGTAGCGCGTGGGTTTCCTTCCACTGTTAAAGACCCCTACGCGCAAAGGAATTATTGAAATAAAAATTGAACAATATGTTAGTCTCGAATTGACCTAGTTAGTTTCGAGTGGACGTTATACCCAATTTTGTCACGTACAAGCGGGGAATCGAAACCACCCCACATTACGCCTCTGATCGAAATAAAATAGAGTTGCTCTGACAGCGGCACTACGGCCTTTTCTTATCTCGATTTCCAACTTTAAGTGGATCTTTGCCAGAGGTATACACGTGATCTCGGTTTATCGTCCCATCCGAACTACTACACGCTATCCTTGCCACGCCCCAAATTTCTATGGCGAAATTCAAAGGATTAAAGTATTATGTTGATCATTAGGCCTAGATTCGATAAAAAGGTGTGAAATTTACAATTTCTGCCAAATTTTGCTCAACATTCATGATAAGGACAGCCTATCTATAGGCCCGGTGACCTGTGGGATTTCCAAATTGAAATCAGCTGTTTGGAGTTTAGAGGGACCCTTCTACGAATGTTTGTGGCTCGAAAATTTGCCCACACCAGACTGTGATCATACTGAAGCCTTAAAGCCATGCAAACTGTACTTTACAGCATATCTTGAACTCGTCGCACCGGGATGTAGCACTGACGTCAACGATGAAATAAATTGTGGTCTTCTTCCAGCAGATCAAAATTAGAGTTATTTCCCCTCATTAATTTTTCCATCATGGCTGCCTCCTGTCTTCGACTTTTATCTTCAACCAAGAAAGACCTTCCTAAATGGTCATGCATCCTCAGCTCATCTTTAAAGGTATTAAAAACAAAGTAGTAGGGCCTTACCATTTCTTGATATTTTTTGCCATGAAGTGTCAGGTGCCCATTTGATGGCGATGTGTTGGTTTACTAATAGGTCATCTCCACTGACGACCAACCATTGCCTCAGAGAGCAATGTCATTTCACTCTGGGTTGTTGTAAAGCCATCTTCTACCCCTTTTCACACTCTTGCTCGTCGTTGTGAAGGATAAAATTTCGTTTCCACTGCCTTCTACTCGCAATATAGATCTTCAGGAAAAACACAACAGATGTATGCAAAATAAATAACTATTTAATTGACTATCGACCCCCAAGAAGTTGGTATCTTCTGTAATTTCATTAATTCGCTGTAATAATAAACTGGGAATTGCTTGGTGTATGAAAGTGCAGTAGCGCAAATTGTTTCTGACATCTAAATAATGATATCTTATTTTCACAGTTTTCCACCAGTAACCGAAATGATGCCAGATTCTATAAAACGGCATTAGAAGCTGTTGAAGACATTCCAAAAGGATCAAAATTATTAGTTGGAGGTAAGCTCAGATTCCTAATGCTATTGGAGGCCACAGAGGGTAGCACGATTTACCCAAATTCTACATAATTTCAACTCATATCACAATAATTTATATCAATATTTGGTAGTATACCCTTCTTTACACCAAATGTAATTTTTAATTTTTTGTGTCAAAAGGCCCCTCAAAATGCAATTTCCATGCAAGTTTTAAAGTTGTAACCAAATCCACTATTATTTCAACCCCTATCACAGTAATTTATACCATTCTTTATGCTAAATTGTCCTTTTTAATAGAAAGTCATATGTGTCAAAAATGTCCTTCAAAATGTGATCCAAGCAAGTTTGGAAGTTGTAACCAAGGGACATAACTCTTGTATTACACAAAATCGCTTGATTGGAAATCTCATTTTGAGGGGCCTTTTAACTCAAAAGCTTAATGGTTTAAAATTATAAATGACAATTTGGTATGAAGAATGGTATAATATTGATATATATTTTGTAGTATGAGTAGAAATAATGGTGCAGAGAAGAATTCAAAAGATTTTTTACAATTTAAAAATGAAAGCCCTGCGTTATGTTTTATTTGGGAATTGGGATATGGCAATGTTTAATAATGTGCAAGGTAGAGAAAGTTCATCGGTATTTTCTGACATTGTTTCCCCTTGTCAGTGGTGCAGGACGGAGGGCTTGACAAGGACAGCTGTTGAGTAATTCGGAAGGGACGAAAAATTGATACCCCATGTATACATTGGCATGCACATAAAAGATCTTGTGATATAAGAGTAGGCCGCTGCCCGAGCACACTGTATGGCATATGCCCATCTTCATTAGCCCAGTAGGAGCAGAACAGTAGGAAGTTAATTAACCCCATTTCATTTACTATTGTTGTAATATTTCAGGTTTTGGACTGTGTGGTATTCCTGAGAATTTAATTAATGCCTTGTTACAGACTAAAGTGAAGGATTTAACAGTTGTCAGTAATAACGCTGGGGTGGATGATTTCGGACTTGGGCTGTTGCTTCAACAAAAACAGGTTAGATTGCAAATAGCATCAATAGACTGGCTCCCTGTGTTTCATCCTTGCCCACTAACGTGGTTAGCACGTGCGGGCTGTATCATAAGGCCTGTCATTGACTGAACTGGGGTGGTTTCGATTCCCCGGTCACCTGTCCAACCTCGTGGGTTTTCTCCGGGTCCTCCCACTGCTAAAGACCCCTATGCGCAAGTGAATTATTGAAATAAAATTGAACCATATGTTAGTCCCGAAATGATCTGGTTTGTGTCGAGTGAACGTTAAACCCATTTTTCTCTCTCTCCTCTCTCTCTGCTCACTAACCAAGAGGGTCTGAATTCAATGCCAGTGTTAACCCAATCTGATTAAAACACAGATCCAATTTCGTTCGTTTTTATAGTTCAAAATTTCAATTTTACTTGTCTTTACTACACTTGGATCTGGAAGCGTTGTTATTTAACTCGTATTCTGCTTGAAATGAGGGGTCAGCCAATCAAATGGTCTGTCGAATCGAGCGTTTGACCTTTTTTGCGCGGAACTGTGGGTAGACAATATATAGCGGCAATAGAAATCAAAACAAAGCAAAAGTAGATAAAAAATACATGGCGGTAGCTAATTGGTTAATCGAATGACTGACGTAATCGGGTCAAATGTCGCTTGCTTGGTACCTGACGTCATAGAACGTGAACTCCCACTATAACTTGTTAGATCTACATGTTGTGTAGGCCATCGAAAGTATAAAAAACGAAACAAACTATAGATCTATATTTTAATTAGATTGGTGTTAACCTGGAGAATTTCCCTTTGTTAGTGGTGCATGATAGACTGTATGGCAGGGAAAAGCACAATTTGATTAAAATACAGATCTATATTTCGTTTTGTTGTTTTATACTTTCAATGGCCTCTAGTACATAAAGATCTGATCAGTTGTAGTGGAAGGTCGCTTCAGAGGTCATAAGAGCGGCTTTTGACCCTATGACGTCAGACATTTGATTAACCAACCGGTAATCAGCATTGATGTTTCTAGTGGAATACCAACAGTTATGTGCATCGCACGTAAGAACTCACTGCAATAGACTGTTTCATTGGCTAATCCCTCATATTAGCCAGAACAGGGATTATATAAACTCTTCCAGATCCTAGTGTAGTAAAGACAAGTAAAAGAAATTTTGAATTATAAAAACGAAACTAAATAGGATCTGTGTTTTAATCAGATTGCACAAATGGACAATGTAAAAACAAGACTCACTGACCAGGTGGTTCTGAAATATTATATAAACTATTAATTAGAAATTTATTAACATGAAAAGACCCTAATCAACCTTCGATGCCATCTAATGTGTTCGATTTTCACAGGCTTTGAATCCAATCTGCTCCTCAATGGATAATCGAGACGTTGTTTTTTTTATCATACCAACTTTAGTAACTCTGTTCAGAGTAGAGCAATTTGACTGACATTTTCAGCATATTCCCTTTACATTATCATCTAGTTTTTAACTATTATAGTGAGAACTGTCAGCTCTTTATCTAATCTTCCATAATGTATCTTTAAATATCTGGAACTAAAAGGCTTTAAGAAGTGCACCTAGGTACTTTATGTTTTTAAATTAGTTTTTTTCTGTAGAAAGGAAGCAGAATGTCTGAAAAACAAAAATTCAAATAGGTTTTCCATCTAGTAATTTCATATTCAGTATTAAAGAAAGTATCTTTTAGCCTATTATTTTTATTGCAGATTAAACGAATGATATCATCGTATGTGGGAGAAAATGCTGAATTTGAAAGACAATATTTATCAGGAGAATTAGAAGTAGAGCTCACACCACAGGTATTGATACTATTCAGTTACTGATGCTCAAATATTTTTGCTAAATCACTTATTTCACTTTCCATTTCAATTTTAGTTTGGGGGGTTGGATGGCCGAATGGTTAGCGCATGTGCATTAAATCATAAGGTCCGTCACTGAGCCAGCTGGCGTAGTTTCGATTCCCCGGTTGTACGTGAGAAGGAGTAGGGTCGCCTGTCAAACCTTGTGGGTTTTCTCTGGGTCCTCCGGTTTCCTCCCACTACTAAAGACCCCTATGTCGGTTATGCACAAGCGAATTATTGGAATAAAATTAAACCATATGTTAGTCCCGAAATGACCTAGTTTGTGTCAAGTGGACGTTAAACCCCATTTCTCTCACTCTTTTACATTTCAATTTTAGTTTTGCCCTAGGGATAATTCTATAAGGCTGTTTATTTTTAGGCCTTTAACAATATGTTTCTATATTTTTTGGAATATTACTATTTTCATTTACATTATTTTACATAAATTGATTTAGAAACATATTATTTTACAATTTTTTTTTACCTTTATCGAAACAGTGTACAAGATCAGTAGCTCTTGGAAAAAGTAAAAATAGTGGATATTGTCGCCTAAGCACACATTTCTTTTTGGTTCTTTCCTAGTTGTTTATATATACTGTGGTGTTTTATTTCAGGGAACATTAGCGGAGCGTATCAGAGCAGGTGGTGCCGGAATCCCAGCATTCTTCACTGCTACTGGGTATGGAACTTTAATCCATGAAGGTGGAGCACCAATTAAATATAATTCTGATGGAAGTATTGATGTCACTAGCCAGGCAAGGGAGGTAAGTCGGATTAATTAATTACTGTACTCGAAAAACAAGTTCTATTGGATGTTATTTTTATATGCTCACATTGAAAGGGAGTCGTATAATTTGTAGTCACCCCTGTCCAACTGTCGGCCGTCCACAAGCTAAAGATAATATCAGATTGACTTTGAATTTATACACAGTTTTTAAGCACATGAGATGAAGATACCTATTGATTTCCAGTGTTTTCCAATAGGGCTGGCGAAAAATATTTATATAGCTGATAATCGTCGGTGACTACTGGAAAATGTCGATATCGATATTCAGTTCTTGATATCGATACTTGTATAAAAAATAAGGGAGCTTCAATAAAATGAAATTGACGGAATGTTTTGTGTCAAACAATCACTGTCATATCATTCAAAACATGTTAAAACTAAAAACACACACACTAAGGTACCACCACCGCGCCAGTAATTTTTGCAGTCGTTTACAACAATGACAATGAATAATTAATTAATTGTTCAGGGGAAATAACTCGATTTTAAGAGAAATTTCTTCATCGTTATAAGCGGCCAAGAAAAATTGTCAATAGCTATTGATGGCGAACGCGAAGCTGCGATTACTATTTTATTAAGAACATCATCAGATAAGTTGTGAATGAAACAAACATTAAGAAAAAATAGTTTGAGGATCATAGTTTTTTTTTATTTGATCAATAACACATTTAAATACATTATTAGCATAGAAACAGTTATTTCTTTCAACTTCACATTTTGCGATATATTGATATCGATATTGCCGAAATGTTTGCTGATATCAATATTTAAAATCGGTATCGATTGCCAGCCCTAGTTTCCAATAAATATTTCCAGTGTTATGCCCTTTATCACGTCGAAAAATCTGTTAAAACCTATAGCCTCTTATCACACTCACAAGGGTTTCGGCAAAGGAGGGATAACTCAGGAACAAAAGCCAAGTATGAAAAAGATCCATTAAAAACTAAAGCCTTTATAGCGTTCACAAGGTTTTTCGGAAAGGGGGTTATAACTTGGGAACGGAAAGTCACAGAATGCTGAATATCGATAGAGTTCATCCTCATATTATAAACCCAATGCTTCAAACCAAATTTTACAAAAATCGGTTTAAAACTATAGCCTGCATTAATAACGATAGGGTTCGTCCTCTCATGACCAAAGGTAATTTGACAGAAATCTATAAAAAAACTATAGCCCCTATCCTGTTCACAAGGTTTTCAGCAAAGGGGGGATAACTCTGGAACAGAAGGTTGCAGAATGATGAACATCGATAAGGTTTGTTCTCTCATGACCCTAATGCTTTAAACCAAATTTGAAAAAAAATCTGTTCAAGCTGTAACTTATTATATAGGTTTCACAATGTTTTTGGAAAAGGGGGATAACTCCTTAACCTCAATATGCTTCACATGGCTCTTGAAAAACAAACATTAAAAACTGCAATGTTTTCGACAAAGAGAGGATTACTTGGGAAAGCTGACAATCCATAGGGAATATTCTCTCATGACCCCAATGCTTACAACCAAAATTGCGTTCACAAGGTTTCAGCAAAGGGGGGATAACAATGAACATTGATAGGGTTTGTCCTCTCATGACCACAATGCTTCACATCAAATTTGAAAAGAATCCATCGAAACCTGCAGCCTATTTTATTTTCAAAAGGGTTTTGACAAAGGAGGGATAACTCCGGAACAAAAAAATACAGAATGCTGAAAATGGATAGGGATCATGACCTTAATCTTTACCACCAAATTTGAAAAAAATCAGTTTTGTGAAGAATCTGTCAATTTATGTGTGGGTGTAGTTTGACAAATTATTTTCGAATTTGGAAGAACCCTATCGAACTTCTGAATTTTTCACTCACAAATTGCAGAGAAATCTCCTTGTTTACACTCAAACTTGGTGTAAAAAGGGGGTTGGGTGGTCAGGTGGTTTAACATATGCTTTTTAGATCATAAGGTCTGTCATTGAGTCAATTGCCATGGTTTCGATACCACACTTGAATGTGACAAGGAGTAGAAGCGCCTTCATAACCTTGTGGATTTTCTCCTGGTACCACAGCTAAAGACCCATACGCACAAGCGAATTATTGAAATTAATCTTTAGCCTGGAGGTCACAGGTTCGATCCTGGTGTTGGCAGAGAAAGTTCATCAGGATTTTCCGGTATGTTTTCTCCATGTCTGTGGTGCAGGACGGAGGACCTGACAAGGACAGCTGTCTAGTCATTCAAATGGACCAAAAAACCAATGTCCAGTGTACACATTGGCATGCACATAAAATACCCCTTGGCAGTTGGAATTCGATATAAGAGTAGGCCGTAGTACCACTGTCCGGGCATAATCTCCCTCATAGCACACTGTATGGCGTATGCCTGTCTTTATAATATTAGCCCATTCAAGGAGTAGAGTCGCCTGTCCAATCTCGTGGTTTTTTTCTGGGTCCTCTGGTTTCCTCCTACTGCTAAATACCCCTATGCACAAGCGAATTATTGAAATAAAATTTAACCATATGTTAGTCCCAAGATGACCTAGTTTGTATCGAGTGGACATTAAACCAGATTTCTCTCTCTCCCTGCAGCAATAAATATGAGCTTAGTCATTAGTCAAATATGATTTATTGAATAGATACATGTAAATATATAGAAACTAATTAAGGTAAAAGTTAATATGTCTTATTACCTGTCAGGTAATTATGGATATATGATTGAGTCGTAGATTTCATATACTGTCACATATTGATTGGTAGGTGTCAGTCTGATGTGGTCTCGTGTTCAACACGGTAACAGGTGTTGTTAGACTCGACTGTAAAACTTGTATCTCAAATACGTGTAACACTATGAGTGATAACAGATATCAGTTTAGTAAATATATCATTTATTTACAACAGGAACAATATATAAAACAACTACATAAATACAACAGGAACATAATATTGAACAGAAACTAAACTAAAACAGGGGGGGTTGGATGGCTGAATGGTTAGCGTGCGCGCGCTGTATCATAAAGTCTGTCATTGAGTCGACTGGCGTGGTTTCGAATCCCCGGTTGTACGTGGCAAGGAGTAGGGTCACCTGTCCAGTCTCGTGGGTTTTCTCCGGGTCCTCCGGTTTCCTCCCACTGCTAAAGACCCCTACGCGCAAGCGAATTATTGAAATAAAATTAAACCATATGTTAGTCCCGAAATGACCTAGTTTGTGCCGAGTGGACGTTAAACCCCATTTCTCTCTCTCTCTCTCTCTAAACTAAAACAGGAACATAAACAATAACATGAACACGGTACATTAATATAGTATATGAATGTATTTCAATCATTCCACCCTACTGCCTCGTCAGCGGCTGAATTCGGATGAGCTCATTTGCCGGTCTCTGCTCCTCTCGTCTGTGTCTCTTCTGTCAGTAAACTGGTGGTTATATATCTTTCAACTGGGTCTACATACATGAAATCATTACTATATATGGTATTTACAAGTTATCTTAATTTCGCTAATATAAATATACACATTGTGGAATTAATAGTCTTTAATTAGTGTGTGCATGTTTTGAACAAAGTGTATAGTTGAAAAGCTGAGAACATCTATTATCAAAACAAACGAAGGCAGGGCTCATGCTGTCGGTCGCCAAAGTCATAATTTGCGATAAAAATATGATTTTGGTGATAACGTTTTGGGGTACTGGTGATTCTTTTTGAGAACCGGAGGAAAATATCTTAAAATTTTAATCGTTTATATCCTAGTAATTTCTAGATTGACCATAGTACAATGGATCTAATAGTGAAGATTCTCGAGTGAGAAAACAGTTCGTGATTCCTACCAGGGATTCAGATTCTGATACGGTTACGGTACCTGAAGATAACAATAGGTCTATTGTCCACGCAAAACATAAATTTAGAGAAAATTGGCAATCCTTGGTTGAGATTTGACATGTAAATACTGAAAATATATTGTGAATTACGGTGTGTGAAAAGATTAAAGTCACCAAAGGTAAAATCTGATGCTAATGTATAATGTACAGACAGATTTTTTAAGTTGTTGTATATTGTAATCACCACACTGATCCGCAGTGAATATTCGCTAGGCCGCGACAATCACTGATTGAGCCACAAATATTAACTTTTTTCCTCTGACAAATTAAATTCTAAAACATTTTTTTATGTATTAGAAAAATAAATAAAGATGTTTGAAGTGTTTGTAGGTAAAAATTGTTTCCTATTTTAGTGTAAATGAGTATTAAAATGAGTAAAAGGCGCCATTCTGCTCGAATCAGTAACGTCTTATGTAAACAATGCACGCGTCATTGAGCCAATGACTGACGCCAAGTGATATGATGTCACATGTTGAAGGCAGTCATCTTTTACAGAGATATTAGACGACTTTCGTAATACTCTGTGAAACAGATTGTGTAATTATATCGGTAATTGTTTTTTAATAGGTTTACCTGGGCTGAGAAATAAACTTGTCTTTTTTTATCACACATTTTTGGCAGATAAAATATTATTCATTTTGGGGGAAAAAAGTTGAAAACCAGACCGAGCACTGAGCTGGGGTCAATAAGTTTACCGCATCTAAATAATAGACGATATTTTATAAAATAGAAAATTAAGCACTTTGTCACATGGGGGGGGGGGGGGGTGGATGGCTGAATGGTTAGCATGTGGGCGCTGTATCATAAAGTCTGTCATTGAGTCAACGGGCGTGGTTTCGATTCCCCGGTTGTACGTGACAAGGAGTAGGGTCGCCTGTCCAACCTCGTGGGTTTTCTCCGGGTCCTCCCACCGCTAAAGACCCCTACGCGCAAGTGAATTATGGAAATAAAATTGAACCATACGTTAGTCCCGAAATGACCTAGTTTGTGTCGAGTGGACGTTAAACCCCATTTCTCTCTCTCTCTCTCTCTCTCTCTCTCTTGTCACATAGGGTAACAGATGTTGTCAGATAGAGTTGACTGTAAAACTTGTGATAAATTGTATTTTATAAAATATATATTGATTTTTGGTGAGTAAGAGTCTCATATTTAGATATCAATTGTAGAAGCTAGCCAACTGTTGTTGCAATTGACTTATTGAGAAATTGACAAAACTCGTCCAAGATGATGTAGATAATGGTGACAGCTGCTTGGATCTGCTCTCATTTACTGTTCAAATGCTTAAATCGACTATACTATATACCGGAAAACACCAGAAAACTACTGGAAAACACCGGAAAACACCATGTTATACTGCATACCGGAAAACTACTGGAAAACACCAGAAAACACCATGTTATACTGCATACCGGAAAACACCAGAAAACTACTGGAAAACACCAGAAAACTACTGGAAAACACCAGAAAACACCATGTTATACTGAATACCAGAAAACACCATGTTATACTGAATACCGGAAAACACCGGAAAAACACTAAATACCGGAAAACACACTAAATACTGGAAAACACCCCCACAAATAGGTAACCCGAAGCCCGGTCCTCTATGTGCAGTTAGGGTTAGGATTAGGTTTAAGAATTTGACCTAGTTTTCCGGTTGTTTTCCAGTGATTTCTGGTAGTTTTCCGGTGTTTTCCGATAGTTTTCCGGTTGTTTTCTGGTAGTTTTCCAGTAGTTTTCTGGTGTTTTTCGGTGTTTTCCGGTATATAGTATAGCAATGCTTAAATTAAACTGGTTTAAAAATGCTGGCGGTCTGAATGCAGAGGTGTGGCAATTACACCAGTTTATATAAGAAAAACAGCTCCTTGCCTATCTTGAGAAGCTGTCTTACCTTGACCCCTTGGCTTAAAAACTCCAGCTATAAAACTTATATTAAAGATCTGACAAGGACAGCTGTCTAGTCATTTGGATGGGGCAAAAAAAACAAAGTCTCGTGTATACATTGGCGCACACGTCAAAGATCCCTTGACAGTTGGAATTCAATATAAGAGTAGGCCATAGTGCACTGTCCGGACAAAATTTCTCTCATAGCACAGTGTATGGTGTATGCCCGTCTTCATTAGCCCAGTATAAGAGCAGAACAGTAGGACGTTAAACTCCATTTCATTTCATTTTGTCATATTGTTAAATAAAATGATTACACATTGTTGTGACTCTATCAACATTAGCTTTACTATGTCCTGCCTGAGTATGACTACAGCTATGACTCACCAGTGACATATGGCATATTTTTGTATGTTTACATGGTTGGGAGAGTCCAAATAAATCATGGGTATGATAAGTCATGGAGGATTATACAAACTGAACAAAAATGATAGTAATAATAGGTATTGTACCCCCAAACAAAATAATGGAGTATACAATAAACTTAGACTGATTAACAACTAAGAAGATTATTTTTCATGCTTGAGTTATTCGAGATATTTTCCAGCTATGTCCTTGTCAAGTTGTGTGGACTAATCCTTGTGTCTATTCTTTGGCTCACCTGCTATGAATACACATGTGTATTTGTGTGTCTGATAACACACAGAAAGATCCATGATGCTATTATTACAATGTGACCGTGTAAATGATGTAATTCTGCTATTTTAAATTATTTGTCATCATACATATATATACATATATATATATAGATAACAGCGATTGATAATTCTTAAAAATGGTAAAGGATAGACTCGAGGACTTGAAACAAAGATCCAAGGAATATTCTAAAGTTCCGCTGAAAGAGAAAAAACCTCCGAAAGTCATGGCAGACGGTCGAGGTATACAGAATTTTCTACACGATGTGGAGAAGGTGGAAACAGAATTAAATTTACTCAAAGAAAAAGTTGAAAATATGAAAAAAATTCAGCTGACGATTTTGAGCAGTCCATTCGGTCAGGATAACAAGAAACAATATGAAAAACTTGTGGACGTTATTCGCAAGGATTCGTCTAAAATACGGAAAAGTTTAAAGAATATTGAAGGACAAGTCGAGGAAAATCCTAAAGAAGAAAACTCGGCCTTAAATCGTATCCGCTCTGAACAATTAAATCGTCTAACTTTAGGGTTAGCGCAAACAAGTAATGACTTCTTTACCGCGCAAAGTGATTATATGGAAAAGATAAAAGTGTTGGTTAGAAAACAATGCGATATCGCAAACAAGGGCGATTCCGAGTTACAAGAAATTCTGGATGCGGAAGGCGATTTTAAAGTGTTCACGCAGGATTACATTACGGATGTGCAGGATGCGGAAGAACAGTTGCGTATGATCGAGGAACGTGATAAGGATATTCAAGCATTAGAGAAGAATATCTGTCAGGTTAACGAATTATTTATCGATATGAGTGTGTTAGTTTCGGAACAAGGGGAGACGATTGTGAATATTGAAAAACAAGTTCTCGAAGCCTCGTCAAATGTTGTAGGTGGAAAGGATCAATTAAGACAAGCGGAAATAAGCAGAAAAAAAAGTCGTAAAAGATGTTGTTGCTTTATTGGAATCGGTATTGTGGCTGCTTTATTAGTTGCTGCAATTATTGCAGGAATTATTCTTTCATAAGTTTCAATAAAGTTTAAAATTTATAACTGCTTATGATAGGTCCCACTGTCGTACGTTGTGTTACGCTAGGATTGTCGTTATTGAGTCCATTATCGGCTACGTGCAAATATGTTCGGATACGATCAACACGATTACTACGACTGACTTCAATATATAATAAGACATGATAGGATCGCCACGATTACTCCACGATTAATGCTAGGTTCCCACTGCGTTACGATAGATTGTCCCTATTGAGTCCACGATTTGGTTTGTGCAGATACGTTCGGATACATTTTGATACAATCAATACGATTGCTACGACTGACCTCAATATATAATAAGACCTGATAGGATAACCACGATTACTCCACGATTGAAACCAAGATTTTAATCGTAGCATGAATCGTGATAGTGGGAACCTAGCATTAAAAATACCTTTGTCAAGATCAGTGAAGTGTTTAATGCCATAATACTTTAAACAGTTCGAAACAAACATAGCATAATATAATTATTATTTCAATGTGCAATGCAGAGTATATGTATGAGGGGTGAAAGAGAGAGAAATGGAATTTAACGCCCACTCGACACAAACTAGGTCATTTTGGGACTAACATAATTCGCATGTGCTTAGGGGTCTTTAGGAGTGGTAGGTAGGAAACCGGAGGACCCGGAGAAAACGTACGAGGTTGGACAGGTGACTCTACTCCTTGTCACGTACAACTGGGGAATCGAAACCATGCCACTTGACTCACTGACAGACCTTATGATGCAAGGCATACACTAACCATTTGGCTATCTCTCTCTCTCTCTCTCTCTCTCTCTCTCTCTCTCTCTTTCAAGGATTCTTTTTACCTACATTCCAATGTCAATTAATGTATGTGCTCACATATGAATATTGTACGTAATATCGCCTATCACATAAAAGCAATATATATTGAGAAATGTTTCATACAGTATATCCACATATGTTATTGAATATTATTAAATACTAGAGTTGTATGATGAATCAATAAAAACTGTATTTATATTTTATTTATAACATAAAGTGGCTAGATCTCTTTGATTTGGATAAAAAAATAAATTTGTCGCGATATATTGATTTGTATTGTTCGAAGACACCTGTCTTCATTTAAAATTTGATGTCTATAGGCAAAGTCAGTGTTGAGATCCAATCAATTGGTTTTTTTTATGTTGACAAACTAAGCCATGACGCAGTAAGACAAAAAAATTGTTGAACAAACAAACTTGCTATCAATTATGTTTTTTATGTTGACAAACTAAGCCATGACGCAAATAAGACAAAAAATCGTTGAACAAACCAACTTAAAATTTTACTTTTTAAAACAAAATGAAAGTAGAATGATATACGGTTGGAGCATGTCTCATCAATAACAAGAAAACCAGGCTGATCAACTAATTAAATACTTTATCATGACATACATCAAAGAGGTTTAGTTGGGGTTAGGTGGCCAAATTATGATCATGAGGTCTGCCATTGAATCAACTGGCGTGGTTTCAATTCCTCGCTTTTTACGTGACAAGGACCAAGGTCTCCTGTCCAACCTTGTTGGTTTCCTCCTACTGCTAAAGACCCCCACGCAAAAGCGAATCATTGAAATAAAATTGAACTATATGTTAGTCCCGAAATGACATAGTTTGTGTCAAGTGGGCTTCAAACCCCCTTCAAGGGGCAGATCTCTAAAATTAAAAATCTACCATACATATGGTTACATTGTGATTGTATTATGATTAGCTTATTGGAACCGCTTTCCCAGGTGTTGACCTAGAAAATCACCCCGTTTTTCCTGCCTGGTTTCGCCTCTTGTCAGTGGTGCAGGATGGAGAGCCTGGCAAGAAAAGGCTGTCTAGTTGTTAGGATAGAAGGAAAAAACTTGTATACCATCAACAGCACGATAAAGATCTCCCGACAGAGAGAGATCAAAATGCGAGTAGACAACACCATCATAGCCAAATTAGGGGAGTTGGAAGGGTGAATGGTTAGCACGTGCGCGCGGTATCATAAAGTCTGTCATTGAGTCAACTGGCGGGATTTCGATTCCCCGGTTGTACGTGACAAGGAGTAGGGTCGTCTGTCCAACCTCGTGGGTTTTCTCCGGGTCCTCCGGTTTCCTCCCACTGCTAAAGACCCCTATGCGGAAGCGAATCATTGAAATAATATTAAACCATATGTTAGTCCCGAAATGACCTAGTTTGTGTCGAGGAGACATTAAACCCCATTTCTCTCTCTCTCATAGTCATAGCCAAATTATGTCATGGTTGGTAAATATAGCCCATGTGAAGACATAATAATAATAATGATATAATAAAAACATTATTTTATGCGGCAAGTTATTTAGTTTGCAAAATAACTAATCTTCCACAAGTTCCGCCGTAGCTACGAATTAAGACATATATACATGTAACATCAGGATAAATTCAAAATGTGAATTTTGCCTCAAGACTTAGATGTATTTTATAATGTGCAATAAAGCCATTGCCTGTAGGCATCATTATAGATTTAACGTTATGTCACTGATTAAGGTATGGTTATTTATGACAATATTGATCGTTTATAATAAAACTTATTAGTTGGGTTCTTTCTAGTGTGACAATATTTATTTGTTAAATTATTTCATGCACACCGATTTCTTACCTAAGAAATAACCAGTTTAAGCGTGACATATTATTACCATTGGTAGAGTCAAACTACACTATGAAAAGCTTAATTGTTAGAGTAGCTAGCTTTTAATAATTAAATAGGAAATAGGATATACAGTCTGATTACAATACAGATCTATATTTCGTTTCGTTTCTTTTATACTTTCGATGGCCTACACTACATGAAGATCTGACAGTTGTAGTGGAAGGTCAGGTCAGGGTTCATATGAGCGGCATTTGACGCTAAGACGTCAGACATTGATTAATCAACCAACGTTGACATTTCTAGTGGTTTACCCACAGTTCCATGCAAAGTACGCCAAGAACTCACCATAACAGACCGTTTCATTGGCTAATTCCTCACATTAACCAGAACGTGGGTTATATAACAACTCTTCCAGATCCTAGTGTAGTAAAGACAAGTAAAACGAAACTTTGAACTATAAAAAAATGAAACGAAATAGGATCTGTGTTTTAATCAGATTGTGGGATATAATTCAATCATTGTATTCTATAGAATTGTACCTTGTCTATATTAACCTATGTACATGTATCTGTTATATTAAATACTGTGTTAATGATGCATTATGGGAGATTAGATAATGAGTTGGCAGTTCTCACTATTATAGTTTAAAACTGAAAATTTCATTCAAATTGATCAACTCTGAACCAAGATTTTAGCGATTGAATTTTCGGCCTAGCCTCGATCATCATCGTTACTAAAGTCGGTACGATAAAAAACATAGTCTTGTTTATCCATTTCATGATTAATCTTATTAGTTTAAGCAATCTGTACTTTAAGCTTATAATTAGTAATTCTCCATAATTAAGTACTTTAATCAGTACTTTAAGTTTATTAGTAATTGATGTACAACATTAATTTCCAATTAAAACACAACTCTTAGTGCCTTTAGATAAATGGGAGATCTTTTTTCCTGCTTGTAATTTCTTTAAATCTATAATTTAAAGTACCTTTGGACAATTTAAGTTCATGAGTTATATTTATTATATGTTTATTTATTTATTTATTTATATGTTTTTGCAATTTGATTGTAAATAATAAAGTTATGATAAAGAAGATATTTTTTGCCTTTTAAATTATTAGCGGGGTGCGTGGCCAAATGATTAGCGCCAAAGGATATGGTCCCATCTTCCATTAGCCCAGGGGGTGGGGTGATGGCCAAATGGTTAGTATGTGCGCGCTGTATCATAAAGTCTGCCATTGAGTCAGCTGGCGTGGTTTCGATTCCCCAATTGTATGTGTCAAGGAGTAGGGTCACCTGTCCAACCTTGTGGGTATTCTCTGGGTCCTCCTGTTTCTTCCCACTGCTGAAGACCCCTATGTATAAGCAAATTATTGAATTAAAACGAAACCATATGTTAGTCTCGAAATGACCTAGTTTATGTCAAGTGGATGTTAAACTCTCCAATGGGAGATGGGGTTTAATGTCGTACTGTTCTGTTCCAACTGGGCTAATGCAGTGTGCGATGAGGGACATTTTGCTCGGGCAGCGGCACTATGGCCTACTCTTATATCAAATTCCAACTGCCAAGGGATCTCTTATGTGCATGCCAATGTATATTCAGGACCTCTGTTTTTAGTCACATCCGAACGACTAGACAGCTGCCCTTGTCCTACACCACTGACAATGGGAAACTACATCAGAAAATCCCGATGAACTTTCTCGGCTAATGCAAGGATCAAACATGCGACTTCCAGGCTAATGTACCCGCATCTTACCCACTTAGCCACTGTGGTTCGTGAACAAAAATAACCTACGATACATGTATGTTTGTTCCAAAATACTGTGTTGACAAGATATGAAATCCATTTCCATTCCTTGTCATTTGAAGTTCTTTAAATTGGGGGGTTGGGTGGCCGAATAGATAACACACATAAGGTATGTCATTGAGTCAAGTGGCGTGTTTTCGATTCCCTGCTTGTACGTAACATGTAGTAGGGTCGCCTGTCCAATTGCATGCTTTTTCCTCCAGGTGCTTCAGTTTCCTCCAACTGCTAAAGACCCCTATGAGCAAGCGAATTATTGAAATAAAATTGAACCATATGTTAGTCCCGAAATGACGTACTTTGTGTCAAGTGGACATTACTCTCTCCCTAAAAAATGACATTGGTCTATGAAGTATGTACATTAACTTGTAATATCCTGATACAGATATGATTTTACTTTCGTTTAGATGAATACAACATGATATAAATAACTTAACGAGGAAATAAAATATACTGTGATATGTCGTGTCTTTGTGTTGGGTTTAACATGTTTGTATTATATCATGTTTACTGTATTTATCATCACCATGTTATAATTATAAGATGTCTTTCTACATGTAGGGGGGTTGGATGGCCAAATGGTTGTATCATCAGTTGGCGTGGTTTCGATTTCCCGGTTGTACGTGACAAGGATTAGGTTAGTCCCAATATGTCTAAGGGGTTGGATTGGTGAATTGTTAGCATGTGCGCATTGTATCGTAAGGTCTGTTATTGAGTCAACTAGCGTGGTTTCAATTCCCTAGTTGACTGTGACAAGGATTGGGTCGTCTGTTCAACCTTTTGGGTTTTGTCTGGGGGCAGAGGTGGGGGCGTTGGATAGCTGAATGGTTAGTGCGTGCACATTGTATCATAAGGTCTGTCATTTAGTCAGCTGGCATGGTTTCGATTCCCCAGTTGTAGGTGACAAGGATTGTGTTGCCTGCCCAACCTTTTGGGTTTTCTCCGGGTCATCCGGTTTCCTCCAACTGCTAAAGACCCCTATGTGCAGTGATTTATTGAAATAAAATTGAACCATATGTTAGTCTCGAAATGACCTAGTTTGTGTTGAGTGGACTTAAATCCCCCCTCTCTCTCTCCCTGGGGCTCTCTCTCTCTCCCTGGGGCTCTCTCTCTCTCCCTCTCTCTCTCTCTCTCTCTCTCTCTCTCTCTCTGGGGGCAGAGGAGGTGTCACAGTGATTTTAGGGGTTTCAGGTAAAAAATATCATAAAAAGATAAAATTGCACTATTTCTCATAAAATGAGACGAAATAATTTTCAAAATGTAACATTAACCATAAATCGCTACTCCCAATAATAAATTTCTATACTAATAAATCCGGTTTTGAATAAGAAAATCATCCAGGCATTTTATGACTGTCAGCTTGCTGCTCTTTTTCATTTTCTATTTGATAGTATTCGGTTAATGTTATGATTCTATATGAAATGGAATTTAATGAAATTTTGGTTTAAAGTCCTACTTTTTTCCACTCTATACTGTTCTGCTCCAAACTGGGATAATAAAGACGGGCATACGCCATACAGTGTGCTGTGAGGGAAAATTTGCCCGGACAGCAGTGCAATGGCCTACTCTTATATTGAATTCCAACTACCAAGGGATGTTTTACATGCACGCCAATGTATACACGGGACCTCAGTTTTTTGTGCCATCTGAACGACTAGACAGCTGTCCTTGTCAGGCCCTCCGTCCTGCATCACTGACAGAAAATTTGTATGAACTTTCTCGGCCAATACCAGGAGCGAACCTGCGACTTTCGGGCTAGTGAGCCAGCGTCTTACTCACTTAGCCACTGTGGCCCCTTCACAAGAGAAGAGTGAACTTGAGCTGCATTTAGACTCCATCGAATTTCCTTCTGCAATACAGGGTAAAAAATACACTTTGATGTTAAAATTTACATCAAGTTTTATTTTTGTGTGACCGTTTTAAGTAACAAAGTGTTAATTTCCTTAAATGACATTTACAAGTAGAGGTATAATATTCATAAAAACACATCTTTATAGATTTACTACTTATTGGTTTATAACATACAACGTTTCAATACTCTTACAGGTACAAAAAGTAGTTTCTTTTTAATTGACCAATCCAATTCATGTAAAGCTGATTAGATTATTAAAGTTATCACACAAGCTATATCTTTATCAAGCAGAGAGATCTTGGTACAAATTTGGTCTTTCTTTAGCCAATGACAAGACAGTATTTTTGTTTGAAATTTTGAATAACAAGGACTTGGCCCTGTGTTCACAAAACATTCTCAGACTTAAGTTAAGAATTTACTCAAAATTGTTCACCTTATTTTAACTAAAATAAAACTTTTGTTGTTTTAATGTAGGGTGACCCACCATAAATAAATATCTCCATATATCTCGACAATTACGCCACAATATTTATATATATGCCAAGCCACAAATCAGTTTCACACAATTATAGTCACTAAATAAACGATCATGTTGTACTTAATAAGCTATGACCATTAATCATGTATAAATAATAGACTGAAAACTGGTTCCAAGAGTCGTCCATAACATCCAGACACTTTTGAGTAAAAGATAGGTTACGTGCCCTTGTTTTGAAATTCGTCTCGCTTAACCGGTCTATCGACCATTCTACGTCTAATTGACAGGTCGGGATAATCAAGACTACTTTTTTACGAAACATAACAGAAAGCTAGAACAAGAAATTGAATTTAGAAATAAGCACGTTAGGTAGCTCAACAATCGATTTAAGAAGCTTGTAAAAGTAAAATGAAACTACTGCTAGTATCATGTTCCTGCCTAACCTGAGTGATTCAGAGATATTATTTGTACTAAACCAAAAGATGCCGCTCTTAACGGTACAGTTAATGATAAAGATAAAGCGATTTGAAAAATGAAACGAACGTAATTTCTAAATCTGCTGTAATAACCAAGAAGCTTAATTTTACTGCTATTCAAAATCGTCAACAATAAATTTTTTACGGCTGTAATAGTTGATAGATTTGTAGAGAATTGCACGTGCCATGGCTATTTATAGTATCATACTGTCAGAAAGTTGGTCTCGGCACAGCGAATGTGCACGCTTCAGTGGTAGTCTCGAACTATCAGCGGTGGACTGTATTTCTGTGAGTACATGGGTCACCCTATTTAATATATCAATAAGAAACTATGTACAAAGTTTTGTGTATCTGGATCAAAGATATTTCTCATAAACAGTGATTAAAAGTTGAGTAAATTCTGAGAATGCTTGGTGAACTTGGGGTCAGATTATTTTTTATTATATGACCTTACAATAGGATTGAATTGTTTTGCTATTTATAAATGAATGGAATGTCAAGTATAGTATCCTAGGGTCAGCTGGTCAACTATTATTTATTTCTTAATGTAATATATATATATATATGTTTATTGTTTTCATACAATGAAACTGATTTAATTCAATTCTCCTTACGCAATCCTTCATTATGAGCTGGGAGCCACGGTGGCTAAGTGGGTAAGACGCTAACTCGCTAGCCTGGAGGTTGGGTGTTCGATCCCTGAGTTGGCCTCAAAAGTTCATCCTGATTTTCGGACGTGGTTTCCCCTTGTCAGTGGTGCAGAACGGAGGGCCTCAAAAAGACAGCCGTCTAGTCCTTCGGATGAGACGAAAAACCGAGGTCCCGTATACACATTAGAATGTACGTAAAAGATCCCTTGGTAGCTGAAATTCGATATAAAAGAAGGCGATAGTGCTGTTGCCCGGACAAAATTTCCCTCATAGCACACTGTATGGCGTATGCCCGTCTTCTTTAGCCCAGTATAGGAGCAGGACAGTAGGACGTTAAACCCCATTTCATTAGCCCAGTAGGAGCAGAACAGTAGGACGTTAAACCTCATTTCATTCATTATGAGCTTTCCATATAGGAAATTAAAGATTGAAATATATGTTGTTTGTGAAAATTTCATTACTTAATAAATAAGTCGTTGTTTGTCCCTTCTGTAAATAAAAATGTTAAAAGGAGCGGTTTATAATCTATGCCTAAATCTTAATCTTATCTGAAAATGTGTTTCTTCTAATGAACTGGAAAACTTTAAGCCTACACCCGAGGCTGTGTTGTTTGTTTTGTTTTCATGTTGTTAATGATATAACAGGGACATTTGAGGTTTCGCAACTTTATTCACATGTAAGAAATGAAATGAAATGGGGTTTAACATCCTACTGTTCTGCTCCTAACCTGGGCTAATGAAGACGGGCATACACCAAACAGTGTGCTATGAGGGAAATTTTGCCCAGGCACCGACTGGGCTATTGAAATGAAATGAAATGAAATGGGTTTAACGTCCTACTGTTCTGCTCCTAACCTGAGCTAATGAAGACGGGCATACGCCAAACAGTGTGCTATGAGGGAAATTTTGCCCAGGCAGCGGCGCTACGGCCTATTCATATCGAATTCCAACTGCCAAGTGATCTTTTACGTGCACGCCAATGTGTACACGGGACCTGGGTTTTTCGTCCCATCCGAATGACTAGACCGCTGCCCTTGTCAGGCCCTCTGTTCTGCACCACTGACAAGGGGAAACCACGCCGGAAAATCTGGATGAACTTTCTCGGCCAATGCAGGGATCGAACACCTGACCTCCAGGCTAGCGAGCCAGTGTCTTACCCACTTAGCCACATGATCCCCCCTGGGCTATTGAAGACAGGCATACGCCATGCAGTGTGCTATGACTATGAGGGACATTTTGCCCAGACAGCGGCACTACAGCCTACTCTTATATCAAATCCCAACGGTTCCTTTAAGTGCACGCCAATATATACACAGGACATTGGTTTTCCGTCCCATCCAAATGACTATATGTGGTTCCTTGCCAGGCCCTTTGTCCTGAACAATGCCTTAAAATCTAGATAAACTTTTTGCCAACACCAGAATCAAAAAGGACCTCCAGGATGGTGAGCCAACGTCTTACTCACTGTGCCACCGCGGTTCCGCCACGTGTAAGAGAAATGGGGTTAAACATTCAGTAGATATGAACTTGGACATTTCGCCACTTAGTTTTATTTCATTAAACATGCATTATGCAAGAGCTAAATCTGATTATTGCAAGTCTTAATTTAGGCTTCAGATGTTATAGAAATTATAAATTAGATCTTTATTTAAACAACAAGACCAAAATCAACTCTGTAGACCCACGGATGGCTCGGCTACAGCTCGGATTTAAATAGGATTTCACTAATTGATTAAATCAAGTATGGGGCAACCTGATGAAAATAGGTCAGATAGATCGAGGCTAAATGATAGAGTGTACTTAGCGAGGCCGCTGTAAAGCGTTTCCGTATGCCATTGAAAACTTTACTTGATAATCGAGATATGTAGGTGGAGTTAACGCCTGTCAATCAAACGTTCGGCGAAGGTGAAGACACATTTCGCTAAAATTTCTAGGCAAATATTACAACGATGATAACTATGTTCAGAATAAAGTAATTTGACTGAATTTTTCAATATATTCTTCTTTCATCATCTACTTTTGAACTGTTATAGCACGAATGGCCAACTCTCTATAAATATCTCACATAATGTATCTTTAATTCAATTGTGCATTACCGAAGGGGTATTTAGCAAAAGGAGGAAACAGGAGATCCTGAAGAAAAATTAAGAAAATCCATAAGTTAAGGCAGGCGACCCTTTCTATATCTACACTACAAGTGTACAAACGTTGGGTGAAAACCATCATTCAGTGTTCAACCTTATCGTATACAGCTCATATGTTAAAACTTTTTGCCAGAAAAATCCCACCCCCAACTCAACTTCAATACATGTATATAAAATGTAAGAGAGGGAGAGAGGGAGAAATGGGGTTTAACGTCCACTCGTCACAAACTAGGTCATTTTGGGACTTACACATGGTTCAATCTTATTTCAATAATTCGATTGCACGTAGGGGTCTTTAGCAGTGGGAGGAAACCGGAAGGCCCAGAGAAAACCCACGAGGTTGGACAGGCAATCCTACTCCTTGTCACGTACAACCAGGGAATCGAAACCACGCCAGTTGACTCAATGACAGACCGTATTTAACGTCTTGTGATTCAATACGCGAATCGTGAGAAGGTGTAAAGCGATACATCATGCCAACACTACTTATGTCCAGGCTTGCTTTTATATCCTTCACACCTCACTACCATACAACTGTTACTATATATTATAAATATATAGTAACAAAATTATAGTCTTGTTTGTCAAGGTGATATCATGGCCCCTATAATCTCTAATGTGATATGTTTTAACATATAGTCTTGTTTGTCATGGTAATATCATGGACCTTATAATCATTAATGTGATATAGTCTTGTTTGTCACAGTAATATATGTTTACTATTATATATTTTATAGAGTCGTGATTTTAATGGAAGGAATTATATCATGGAGGAATCTATTACAGGTGATTACGCCCTCGTTAAAGCATGGAAGGCGGACAAGTCGGGTAACTTAACTTTCAGGTAATAACAATTCTCTATCTCTAGTGATATCGTTCCGTTCTACTCCACTAACCTCTGGGTCCATTCACAGGGTTTTCAGGAATTCAAATTATCTGCCCTTGAGTCTACGAACTAATCAAAAAACAGCTTACATAGCAGTCTTAGCGTCATTGTTTACATTGACCACAATAATCTTAGTTGCAATAAATGTGAGTTACTTCCCTTTGCCCACTCGATTGGTGGATAAAAATAGAAGAAGTATCAGGGGCTGATAATTTGAATGTGCCTCCCCGCCCCCCTGGATGTACCAGGAGGTTAGTGGAGTATAACGAATTGATACCACTGGCGATACCGAGAATGGGTAATAACGAGTAGACGAACATCTTTGTCAAATAGCCATTGTTTTTCCTGCTAATAGGGATCTGGAGTCGTAGGATGAACCCTGAGAACCCGGAGAAAAACCTATAAGGTTAGGCAGTTGACTCTAATGTTATTGAAACCAGTTAGATCATAAGGTCTGTCATTGAGTCGGGGGGGTTGGATGGCCGAATGTTTAGCATGTTGAATCATAAGGTCTGTGATTGAGTCAACTGGCAGGGTTTCGATTCCCCTGTTCAGTCCTCCGGTTTCCTCCCACTGCTAAAGACCCCTTCACTCAAAAACAAATTATTGAAATATAATGTTAGTCCAGAAATAACCTAGCTTGCGTCAAGTGGATGTTAAACCCCATTTTTTTTCCCAATAGACTGCCGGGTTCTGAGCTAGGCTTTAGTCCCCAAACTAAAAATGTCCGACAGGCAAAAATTTGGGTCAGCATTCGGCACCATATATCTTATATTATATTTTCAGAAAAACAGCGCGTAACTTTAACCCACCGATGTGTAAAGCTGGTAGAATAACGGTAGCAGAGGTAGAAGAGATCGTTGAAGATGGCGCCATCGAACCAGAAGATATTCACGTACCTCATGTCTTTGTACAGAGAATCATTAAAGGTCCAAAATACGAGAAACGTATAGAGGTAACGGGGGTTTATAATAATATATATATAGATGTACCCAAATTATTAATGACCATAGAAAATGGAACTTAAAGATACATTGTGTAAGATTTCGATAAAGAGCTAGCCATTCTTGCTATAATAGTTGAAAGATATATTATATAAGATTTAGATAAAGAGCTGACCATTCTTGCTATAATAGTTTGAAAATAGATAATGTAAAATGAATAATTTGAAAATTTCATTCAAATTACTCTATTGTGAGTGAAGATATTAGCCTTTGAAGGTTTGACAAGACGTGTGCAATAATTTCAACCACCGTACTGGTTGTTCAAAGCTAAGTCTCGCTCCTCCAATTTTAGCTTGAATCAAGATATGGCTGAACCGTTCTAATCTATTTAATATAGGCCTGGATCAGTTAATTAATATCTAATTAATAATTTAGATAACATTTCAGACCTAAAGAAAGACCTACAATAGTCAGATTTAGCTCTTGAATAATGTATGTTTAAGTACAAAAATGGAATTAATGTCATTAGAAATTCTAGGCCATATATTGTGCCAAAATTATCTTGAAACCATTGCACAAATATTTTTTTGGCATACTATTGTGACAGGAATCAAACTGGTAAGCCATAAGATTTTTTTGTGTACACTGACTACTAACAATTCTAATGAATATTGCCTACCATATGTTAGTCTCAAAATAATCTAAGTATTGTGTTGATGATACATTAACTATATGTTAGTCTCAAAATAACCTAAATATTGTATCTGTGGGGTTACAACTATTACAAGATAAAGCAGGGGCTAAAAGTGTCACGGTCGTGCACTTTATCCTTTATCATCAGATGGTGGGATGGGATTGACATTCAAAGTGCGAGATAATGATATAGACATATGTGATATCACAATTAATGATTTGTATCAATGAAATTGAATCACAATGTAATCCTATTAATGCATTATAAAAATTGACATCTCTCTTTAAAAAGCTTAGTGTGTATGTATGCCTACGTAATTAAGAGACGATAAGGGCATCATGCATTGTCAACTGTCAAATTTCCTTAACAGGAACCTGGCAAACCCCCTCCTGCAAAAATTCCTTGATCCGCCCCTGTAAAGAATTGAATTGCATGTGTTGTATAATTATTTCAGAGATTACGTTTAACGGAAGACAGTACGAATGAAAAACCTAAAAATGCTGCAGCACTGATGAGAGAAAAGATAGTAAAAAGAGCAGCATTAGAGTTTAAAGATGGCATGTATGGTATCCTTGATATACATGCAAATATAATTGTTAGATGCCCATCAAAGACAGGTGTCTAGTCGTTCGGATGGTACGAAAAACCAAGGTCCTGTGTACACATTGGTGTGCACGTAAAAGATCCCTTGGCTGTTGGAATTCTATATGAGTAGGCCATAGTGCCGCTGCCCGGGCCAAATTTGACTCCTAGCACACTGCATGGTGTATGCCCATCTTCATTAGCCCGGCCGGAGCAGAACCCTCATAGCACACTGTATGACGTATGCCCGTCTTCATTAGCCCAGTTCGAAGCAGAACCGTCGGGCGTTAAACCCCATTTCATTTCATTTCATTTTATTGTGATACAGATAAAATATATGTTTAAAGTAGCTAAGTCTCTAATTCAGTATCATCCATAGTCTTCCACATTGAAAACACAAATTAATTGTCAATCCTTGACATATATATACAGCTAATTTAGGAATAGGTATGCCGATGTTAGCCAGTAATTATATAGCTAAAGGTATTAACGTTAGTCTACAGAGTGAAAATGGTATTCTTGGTCTGGTAAGTATAAAATCTTTATTTATTGTAGAATAAAAGTAAATAATATCGTATTTAAAATAACCATATCCTGATTAAAATACAGATTTATATTTCGTTTTTTTTATTTATATACTTTCGATGGCCTACACTACTACACTACATAAAGATCTGACTGGTTGTAGTGGGAGGTCACATCAGGGGTCATACGAGCGTCTTTTGACCCTATGGCATATGACATATGATTAGCTAATCAGTAGGATACCCACAGTTCCATGATCCGCATGCCAAGAACTCACCGCAACAGACCGTTTCGTTGGCTAATCAACCAGAATGCGGGTTACATAACAACTATTCCAGATCCTAGTGTAGTAAAGACAAGTAAAACGAAATTTTGAACTATAAAAAACGAAACGAAATAGGATGTGTGATTTGATCAGATTGATATAACCATAGAATCCTCTAATTATCAAAAATCCAAGCACTGTCTAAATTAGGGTTAATTAAACTCTTTGAAATTGGTCTCAATTTTTGCAATCTAATTTTTAAATGGCCACATTAATTTCCCACACGTATGCTGTCGGTCCTCATTGATTTCTGTATTTTGGATTGCAATATTTATTGCGAAGGAACTGTATTATTGATTAGATTATATATTGGATAGAGAGACAGAGATCAGTGGGGGGGTTGGATGGCCGAATAGTTAGCATGTGCGTGCTGTATCATAAGGCCTGTCATTGAGTCAACTGGTGTGGTTTCGAATCCCCCGGTTGTACGTGACAAGGAAAAGGTTCAATTGTCTAACCTCATGGGTTTTTCTCCGGGATCTCAGGTTTCCTCCCACTGCTAAAGACCCCTAGACGCAAGCAAATTATTGAAATAAAATTGAACCATATGTTAGTCCCAAAATGACCTAGTTTGTGTCAAGTGGACGTTAAACCCTGTTTCTTTCTCTCTCTTTCTTAACATTTTATTTTGCGAGGTATTCAAATTTCCACCAATGATGATCAGTCGCTTTAACCTTTTTGAAATAAATTTTTAATTTTATCAGGGTCCGTTTCCAAGGAAAGGTGAAGAAGATGCCGATTTAATTAACGCTGGTAAAGAAACAGTAACGTCTTTACCTGGTAGTTCTTTCTTCTCAAGTGATGAATCGTTCGCTATGATCAGAGGGTAAGTAACTAATGATAAAATCATTTGCTATGATCAGAGGGTAATTAATTAATGATGAATCATTTGCTATGATCAGAGGGTAATTAACTAATGATGAATCATTCACTATGATTAGAGGGTAAGTAACTAATAATGAATCAAATTTGTTTGGTGTGGGTTTGGACGAATGGAATCTAGTCCTGTACTCAATTTTTGGGGTAACAGTTCTTATACTTCTCAACAAGCAAAATATAAGACCCTACACTCAGAGGGTAAGTAACTAGTGACGAATCAAATTTGTTTGGTGTGAGTTGGACAAACTGTACTCAGTTTTTGGGGTAACAGTTCTTATACTACTCAACAAGCAAAATATATAAGATCCTACACTCAGCGGGAAGGCAGTGGGGCTGAAAGGTTAACGCACGTGCATGGTTTAGATTCCCAATTTGTACGTGACAAGGAGTAGGTTCGTCTGTCCAACCGCGTGGGTTTTCTCCGGGTTCTCCCACAAAGTATTCAAATATAATTAAACCACATCTTAGTCCCAGAATGCCCTACTTTGTGTCAAGTGGACATTAAACCCCATTTCTCTCTCTCTTGCTACAGATTATCAAAAGTTTAAGCTTAGAACTATTTACAGCAAATCATTGTTCAAGGGAGATAAATCCAGTTTATACACAGCCACAATTTCTGTTACACTTTTGTATTTAAAGAACATGGCTGGTGACTGTACTAGTGGCCTCTCTTTGAACTTTCCTTGGTTATGCATGGTAGCTCAGACATCTGAAACACAATTCCAAACTCCAAACTATTTAAAAGCCAGCTATAATAAACGTTCTTTGTAGAACTTTTAGAGAGGGGGCGGGGGACGGATCTAGTGGTTTAACGTGTACACGTTGGATCATAAGGTCTGTCATTGAGTCAAGTGGTGTGGTTTCGATTCCCCGCTTGTACGTGACAAGGAGTAGGGTCGCCTGTCCAACTTTGTGGGTTTTCTCTGGATTCTACAGATTCCTCCCACTACTAATTATAAAGACTCCTACGTGCAAGCAAATGAATAAAATAAAACTGGGACATATATTTGTCCCAAAATTATCTAGTTTTTGTCGAATAGAGTTACACATGCAATCTCTCTCCCTCTCTCTCTCTCTCTTTATAGAGTTTTAAGACTATTCTCAGTTTTATTTCCGGGTATTGAAAATTGCTGATAATTATCCAAATCAATCAGATCTGGCCATTTTAAATTAACTTTGCTTTTGATTGATTTCTCACCTCCATCTTTATTACTCTAGGCACTCTTTCTGGAACACTGGATACCACTTCTTATTTAGTGTGGAAGATAGATTATTATATAGAAATATTATTTCTCTTTACAGTGGTCATATTGATTTAACTATATTGGGTGCCATGCAGGTGTCAAGATATGGTGATATCGCTAACTGGATGATACCTGTAAGATATTTTCATATTTAAGACATATTAAATATTTATTTAATTCTCTTCCGTTTTGTTATTGAGTCAACTGGCGTGGTTTCGATTTCCCGGGAGTACGTGACAAGAAGTAGGGTTGCCACGTGAATTTTCTCTGGGTTCTCCAGTTTCCTCCCACTGCTAAAGACCCCTATGCGCAAGCGAATTATTGACATAAAATTGAACCATGTGTTAGTCCCAAAATGACCTAGTTAGTGTTGAGTGGACGTTAAACTCTCTCTTCTGTTTTCCCCTGGAGATAAATATCTACACCTACAAGTATTCCATTAATATGCTTAGTGGCTCACTGACCATTTTCCAGCATGGTGTCCCTTATTAGTGAAGCAGGACTGAGGGGAGAGATGGGACAAAAAACAAGGCCCCCTGTACACATTGGACGTGCAGTCGGAAACACGATCTCCAGGCAAATTCTCTCGCATAGCACACTACATGGCATATGGCTGTCTTTTTTACCTTGGTGAAGTCATATCAAAAACTGATTTAACTATGAATGTTCATACATGCACCTATTATCTGAGTACATAGGTTTACCTAGTGCTTTAGTGTAGGATGGAGGGCCTGACAAGGGCAGCTGTCTAGTCATTCGGATGGGACGAAAAAACGTGTATACATTGGCAAGCACGTAAAAGATCCCTTGGCATTTGGATTTTGACATAAGAGTAGGTCATAGGGCCACTGCCCGAGCAAAATTTCCCTTGTAGCACACTGTATGGCATATGCCCATCTTTATTAGCCCTAGTGTTCATCAATCTATGATAATAACTATATTATATTTACAAGGTTAATTTAGTTAAAGGTATGGGTGGTGCTATGATAATAACTATTATATATTTACTATGATAATAACTATATTATATTTACAAGGTTAATTTAGTTAAAGGTATGGGTGGTGCTATGATAATAACTATTATATATTAACTATGATAATAACTATTATATATTGACTAGGGTAAATTAGTTAAAGGTATGGGTGGTGCTATGATGATAACTATATTATATTATATTTACTAGGGTAAATTAGTTAAAGGTATGGGTGGTGCTATGGATCTGGTATCAAGTTATAAAACAAAAGTTGTTGTAACTATGGAACATACAGCTAAGGTACAGTAAACATTTCTCTCTCTCTTTAGTATACTAAACAGCAAAAAAAACCTCAGTATATGCAATTGAAGAACAATCTAAGTCACTTTTTCAATGAACCCCAGTTAATGGCGCCATCTGGTAGCAAATTGTATAAGCTTTCTGTGGAACAATTAATTTCAGGTAAAAATGATCGGAGTCACATCAAACCAAGGCCCTTCTGAAATGGCCTCCTGGACAAATACGTCCATCGTACCCTTTATTTGACCTTAATTTGACTGAAAAGCGGAAGTCAGTACGATTCGTATTAAACATCATTTTGAAGTTGTAATTAAACCCACTCATTGTTCTGTTCTCGTCAAACATTCTCGTCAAAAGTCTGTTTTGCCTTTTATGCGAAAAGACAAAAATGTGTCTTAGATCGTTCTTCCCCTGGACTCTTCATTTCTCTGCCTCTCTAGTATATACAATTGGCATGTTGGCCGTGGGTTATTTGAAATAATGGTACACCAACATCAAAGATGACGTGACTTAAATAAGTATCTGAACTAGTTTAATTCACTGATATATGTCCTGTCTTAATTTTCAGGGAGGAACCCAGAAGATTTTACCTGATTGTAGTTTACCATTAACAGGCAAGAGATGTGTGGATATGATAATAACAGAAATGGTAGGAACCTGATCAATATTCATATTTTATCAAACTTTATATCAATGTTTCTGTTATTCATTATAAGTTGGTATTTTGTCACCAAGTTGTAGTGTATAGTGATATTCACCGCCATTTATAGAGAAAACATAGATCATATCTGGTATTTACAATTGTATTGGGTACTATAAAGTAAACAATTGTATTGGGCACTATAAAGTAAACAATTGTATGATGTATTGGGTACTATTAACTGAACAATTGTATTGGGTACTATAAAGTGACATGGAAAAGGCAGGGTGTATTTGATAATATACATGTTATATTATATTATACACACGGTGTATTTGACAATATTACATGTTATATACAGGGTGTATTTTTACATGTTATATATAGTGATAATATGATAATATAACATGTTATATTATATACACGGTGTATGTTATATTATATACAGGGCGTATTTGATAATATTACATGTTATATACAGGGTGTATTTGAAGTAGATCCGGAGAATGGTTTAACACTAACAGAAGTAGCTGAAGGTGTATTGATTGAAGATATCGTAGAAAATACAGGAGCAGAATTTCAGGTAAGCTAACAATGGTTGATATAGCAATATTGTTCCAAATTAACAGATATACACTCGAGTTCAGTCCTTTCACCATTCTATCAGTCCCGATAATTGAGGTAGTGTGTATAAAATCATTACCTGATAAGAAAACACTAGATATATTTCAGCTATCGTGGTTGAGATATTTTCTTATTACGTCGTTGTATGCATTTTTGCTAGAAATCTGTTTTTTTCTCTATACATGGGATTGAAAGAATTCCAAAATGTTTAATCCAGCGTCCCTAGATTGAACTATTACGAGTAAATATCAGTTGTATTTGAACTATTAAATATAAATTATAATTAGACTATTAAATATAAATTGTGACTATTAGTTTGTAATTAAACTATTAGATATAGTTTGTAATTGAACTATTAAATCTGCATTGTATTTGAACTTTTATAAATAAATTGTATTTGAACTGTCAAATATAAATTGTAATTGAACTATTAAACATAATTTGTAATTGAACCATTAAATATAAATTGTAATTGAACTATTAAATATAAATTGTAATTGAACTATTAAGTATAAATTGTAATTGAACTATTTAATATTAATTATATTTATAGGTATCACCAGATGTAAAACCGATGGGACAGGTGGCTGTGTAGTTCTGAATACAGCCCTAACCTACTTCAACAAGATAAATCCTTAAACCTATTTAGTAACAGAGTAATTGTATCCTATTATAATTAACAGCAGTATTACGTATTTCTACCGTTACAATATTCTAATACAAAATCACAAGATACTGTCAAGCAGGGTTCTTAATCCATTATTAAATTAACCGGCCATAATTGGATGGTTGGTTACTTAAAATTACTGGACGTGTTATAGATTATTAAAAATCTTGTATATGATCAATAATTTGATGTTGAGGAATTTTTGTTACTTTTTCATTAATGTCACATCCAAATTTAATATTAAAAATCTCAAGTTTAGACATGAGATAAGTACAAATTATACATTTGTGTAAATATAGCCTCTCCAAAATCTTCAAACTACTTTCGTTTCTTTTGCAGCATAGGGGGGTTGGATGGCAGAATGGTTAGCACGGGCGCGCTGTATCACGAGGCCTGTCATTGAGTCAACTGGCGAGGTTTCGAATCCCCGGTTGTACGTCACAAGGAGTAGGGTTGCCTGTCCAACCTTGTGGGTTTTCTCCAGGTCCTCAGGTTTCCTCCCACTGCTAAAGACCCCTACGCACAAGCGAATTATAGAAATAAAATTAAACCATGTGTTAGTCCCGAAATGACCTAGTCTGTGTCGAGTGGACGTTTAACCCCATTTCTATCTCTCTCTCTTTTGCAGCATTATAAAATTGGAGACAAAAATTATTTTGAGATGTTACCAAAATTCCTTGACATCAAATTCTTGATCATAAATACAGTATTGTCAAAATTAGCATTAAATGGCTTATTACTTCGATGATGAACTAAAGGAGTATACATTCACAATCTGACCCATTCCCACAATGTTATGACCATTAAACATACATTATACAAGAGCTAAATCTGTCTATTGCAGGTCTTTCTTTAGGCCTGAAATGTTATATAAATTATTAATGAGACATTAATTAACTTATCCAGACCATAATCAACTCTTGATGCCATCACTAGCCTGCGATATTTACTGGATTGGAATACATTTTTTAGAAAAATAATTAAACAGAAAAATGGATAATCGAAGCTAGCCTAAAATTCAAAAGCTAATATTATTATCTGGGTTCAGAGTGGATCAATTTGACTGAAATTTTTAGCATTTTCTGTTTACTTGATCTGTTTTTTAACTACTATAGTGAGAATTGTCAACTCTTTGTCTAACCTCCCATAATGCCTCCTTAAAGAATAATATCTGACAAGTTGACTCTTTGTAATCAACTAAAATTTGATCTATTGATGATACTATGGTGGTGAGTTCAATGTTTTATTAATCGGCCGATTAAGAACCCTGCTGTGAAGTAAGAATTGTTTGTGGTGTACGGTTTTTGTTTGTAAAATATCACTGTTTGTTTCTCAGATAGATTAAAACAAAAAGTTACGTTGTATTTATCGTTATATATACACTGTAACATTGAAACGTTGACTAAGCAACTAATAACTGTTATAAATGAAAATATTTTGTCTATTCAATAGTAATGGGTGTTATAAATAGTCACGCTTTTACACCAGTAGTAACATCTTTTACAGCTATTTACACACCTGTGTCTGACATTGTCTGTGACAGGTGCCTTATTTCCAGGCTTGCTGGTAACTATCTTGTTATAAATTGGACAAAGAAAACATCCATTTGATATTAATTTCAGGATTTTTATATTGGCTTTTAAGAAATTGTATGCAAGTACCCAAGTTAATGACAATCTATTGTAGTATGAATGAATATGCATTTATTACCTGGAAGTGGTTATTTCTGTTATTTTCAATATATTTACCGTTATCTCAGGAAAGTTTCCCATAATATGTTGAAAATGTACAAATTTTGGTCATAATGAAGTCTAGGAAAGTTACCCATAATGTCTGGTGACAGATATTTTATTTTGTCCTGTAACCTTAGACCTATGAGTAAAAATTCTAGGCCCAAGTTCACGACACATTCTGAGACTAAAGTTAAAGAATTTACTCAACTTTGAATAATAATAATAATAATAATAATCACTGTTTATGAGAAATATCTTTGATCTAGTAACACAAAACTTTGCACATAGTTTCTTATTGATGTATTTGATGCATTAAAACAACAAAAGTTTTATAAAGACCTATATTTGAGTAAATTCTTAACTTAAGTCTGAGAATGTGTCGTGTCATGAACTTGGGCCTAGAATTTTTACTATTTAGTCTTTTATCGCCAGTAGCCAATAGAAAATGGTGTTGATTTTCAGTGATAGATTCTAGAGGTAATGATTTTTTAACCTAGAATGTAGCTCAATTTGAGGTTAATTTTACGATAATATGATGATGCTATGGCAGCTTTATGTAAATACTTCACAAAGTCTAATTGTAACTCTTTAGCACACTGACCACCTGGAACAACGCAAAACTTAGGTGATCAGAGGAGCTCTAGGTTCGGGCGGTTTCGACAATGTACCACAGAAATCAATGTAAACAGCATACTAAACTTAGGCTGTCTTGTCTACAGTTAGCTCCGCTTGAGAACAGTAAACTTCGAGAATTTTGAGAAGTATTTATTCTGCTTCCATTTAATGGAATTGAATAGATTTATTTAGTCTTTGTGTGTATGGCCGGTGTGAAATGTAGTCGAACCGCATTACGTAACGATATACTAATTTTTGGATATGGCGGCCATTTAGGACAGAGATCTATTCTCGAAGTATGAAGTAGATGAATCTCTGTGTGCAGGATGTTTAAAAAGATCACCTTCTTGTAATTTTGTCAGGGAACTGAGTTCGTCACTATACATCCTGGCCCTAAGTTCACAAAGCATTCTCAGACTTAAGTTGAGAATTTACTCAAAAAAATTGTTCGCCTTATTTAAACTAAAATATAGCCCTTTATAAAACTTTTGTTGTTTTAATATATCAAATACATCAAAAAGAAACTATGTGCAAAGTTTTATATTTCTGGATCAAAGTTATTTCTCACCAGTGATTGAAAGTTGACTAAATTCTTAACTTAATTCTGAGAATGCTTTGTGAAACCAGGGCCTGTGTGCTTAAGAGTTAATGTATATAAATAAACTGATGTTTTAATGCACGTATCAATAATGCATGTATAAATTATTAAAAAATTTGTAGAGTGTCCAACAGTCTTCCAAGATTCTTCTCTGTAAGCGACTTGTTTGGTTCTAATTCGAATTCCTTAGATTTTGCGAATGTGTGGCTGTCCCCTATCTATATATAATCGATGGTGATTATGATAATATTGTATTGCTGATTAATCAATCAAGGTTAGCCGTATCTATAATTTGATAACCTCTATTTTTATCTGATTAGTTTGATTGTGATATCGGAAAGAGGGGGGCTAAGCTGCTAGTGGGCATAGGATGTATAGGTTTCTTTTATCGGGTATTATCAGTTTGATTTGGGGGATTGACTATGTTATTGGAATATGATTTTTTGAAAAAACCTTATTTATTGTCAATGATTTCGGATTATTACTGACAGAATTATGGCCCTTGGTCACTTAGAAAAATCTTGTGGACACTCTAGAGGCTAAAGTTAATATCTGCTTGACTTTAAATCTATACACAGTGTTTTGGTCCAGACAACCGGTCATTAGTTAATCAGTTATTAAAAGCCCACCTGGATGTTGTGGGCATAGGCAGAAAAGTGGGGCATTAAAGTGGGCAAAGGATTTGTTACCTGGCAAACTATTGTATCAAACCAATTGCATTTACAAATGTACATGTAACAGCATTTTTATGAAATAGAAGATTTAAATGAATAGAGGGCTATTTATGTAGATGTAGAATTGTAGAAAAATATATATATGTTTTTATAGTTGTAACTGAAAGCTATATATAAGAAAAAAAAATTGAATATTACAAATTTTAAGAAAAAAAAAAGGGAGGATATTTTTTAGGTTATCACATATTTATGTTCTGTATTTTTTGTAATATTTCTTTTAATTAATATATAAATAAAGAAAATAATTATTTTAAGATTTAAGAGTTTAATGAAACTATAAAGAAAAAAAGAATATGATTTTACTTAATTCATACATACCCTGTATATTGTCTTTTTTTTTTGTAAAATAGTCAGATATTTTTAACCATATGTAAAATTAATAAACTATAACACATACTTATGGAAGAACAATTACTGATTTATTTGGGCGATGTTTCGAAGAGTATTCTCTCAACGTTTTCAAGCAAGTTTCAAGCAAGTTTGCTTGAAAACGTTGAGAGAATACTCTTCGAAACGTCGCCCAAATAAATCAGTAATTGTTCTTCCATAAGTATGTGTTATAGTTTATTGCTCTATCCAGTTACTAAATGCCTCTAAAAGATCATATGTAAAATTATTAAAAATAGGATTTTAATATGATCTGCTGTCTAATAAAGCAGCCATTTTACAGGTTTTAGTTATAGTTTTGACTTTATGTAAAATAGGTAGATTTCTTAGTGTGTATATTTATATATATTATGGCCAGCATCTATTTCGGAATCTAAATATCTGCAATATTTAAAAAAAAAAAGGTATTTAAATAAAGGTTCTCGATTCAATCAATTTTGCTGGTCTTGACTGATTGTCAAGTGAAATTGACTGACTGGAGAACTTATTTGTCGGTCAATTTATATGTCATAAAATTATAATTTCAAACGATTAAACCTCAAAACAATAAATACAGCAGTTAAATTTATAGTCTGGCGAGCAATGGTGGGGGGAGGGGTTCTAAAATAAGCTACAAATATCCATGTAGAAAAACATCACTTTTCTTCGGGGAATCAGGATACTCAATATTTACATGCACCGTGCGCTAAATGGATAATATCTGTTTCAGTATTATAAGTGAATCCCCGGATTCGTGTTTGCGAATTCTACTTTGTCTTAACGTGAGCTGTTCTGTTTGTATAATAATTCTAACAATAAACCTCTGTCTTCTTGGTAGACAATTGATCATTCTGTGTGATGCTACATAATAATAATAATTATATATAATAACAGACAACTTTATGGATAACATTCACTAAGTTTATTAACTGCAATGTTTCAATGAGGATACTCCCACCGATGTGAGTTTCCCCATTGAAACAGTGAGAGTGTTCCCATTGAAACGGCGGGAGTGTCGTCATTGATACGGCGAGAGTGTCCTCATTGATACGGCGAGGGTGTCCTCATTGAAACGGTGAGCGTTTCCTCATTGAAACGGTGAGTGAGAGTGTCCTCATTGAAACGGCGAGAGTGTCCTCATTGAAACGGTGATGGTGTCCTCATTGAAACGGCGAGAGTGTCCTCATTGAAACGACGAGAGTGTCCTCGTCGGAACGATGGGTGTCCTCATTGAAACGTTTGGTGAGAGTGTCCTCATTGAAACGGTGGGTGAGAGTGTCCTCGTTGAAGCGGACACGGTGCAATTGTCTCCATTGAAACGTTGCAGTTAATAAACCTAGTGAATATTATCCATAAAGTTGTATGTTATTAAAGATAATAGTTATATAATGAGGAATGTAGATAAAGTATATATAATGTATGTTAGTTGTAATGGTATGGTGAACAGGGATATACATGTGTATAATTTACTGTGTGTGATATTAAACTCCATTCAAATAAAATTTTGTAAAATAGATATTTATTAAGTTATTTTCTCGGTTATTTGACCATAACCCCGCCATGTGAGGACTAATATATATATTTTTTGTTTCATTAAGTTAGACAAAATACCCATAGGAAACCCACAAGTTTGTTGTGCTGTTTATAAAAACATATATTTAGAACAACACGGTTTTCCCAAGTTTTATTATTCAAAGAACATAACGTGAAGTCAAACCAAGCTCAAAACAAACCTCTGTGGATTTCTGGAACGTAGGAAAAATCTTCAGTCGTTGAATTGATTGTTTGAAATTATCTTGGTTCTTTAGATGCCCCCTTTTCCATAGTAAGTACACGAGGGCCGCGTCACAAATAACTAGAAGTGAGAGAGAGAGAGAGAGAGAGAGAGAGAGAGAGAGAGAGCATTGGGAGGAAACCGGATGACCCGGAGAAAACCCACGAGGTGGGACAGGCAACCCTACTCCTTGTCACCAGACCCCAGAAACAAGTTTTAAATGTACCGACCACAAGGCCATGTCATGGCCCTTTGAGTTCAGTATCAGCACCCAACTATATAGCATTTATGAATAAATACGCAGACAAAATGGTGTAAAAATAATATTGTAAATAATATGTGAAGAAATATATGAAATTTAAAAGACAACTCACTAATAATAATTTATACTTGAGATTTTAATAAAAATTAAATCAAAATCCGTCACTGTTTCACGCGCATGTTTTTCACATTCGGCCTGATTGCACATCTCTTATAAACGTTCTACAAGCCTCAACTAACACATTGTCTGAATTATTCTTTTGAAATAAATTCATAATGCTAAAATGCGTGGTCCCCTGTATTGTCACGTGACGGTAAGATACGTCATCCTGAGAAAATTCTTCTATCATATCTTTGGTGTCTTTAACTAGATGTAGATCATACTCAGCATTGATTAAAAGATAGGCTGGTCTCGGAGAGTTCTCTCCCCTTTTCGCGGCCATCTTTGCATGCGTCAAAGGCGATGCTTTGTGCCAAACGGAGGCCTTTTCGCCAAATACTGGAGTGAGATAGAACTGTTTTAGAAACCGCGAGGATAAATTATTTAAGTCATACACTCCACAAATGGATATAACACCCTGAAAAAAAAGAAACACAATATAACACATTGCAACAAGAAATACACATATACAGAATACTACAATAGCACTCCTCCCATCCCCGCACAAGGCGACTCTCGTTAGGTATAAGCAATTCTGCTTTACCCGCCCGTAGCCTACTAATATATTACCGTACGCAAGATTTTCAAAAAAGGTATCCAAAAATGGCATTTTATTACCAAATTTTGCAGCCATTTTGAAAGAAATTCGTTGTTTCGGCACCTTTAGCCTCTATAACTACTTTAGTATTTGAAGAATTTAAAAAAAAAATAGTTATTCTCCCACCACTAAAACACACAGGTTACGAGATATCGCTCTCCGAAAATTCCTGAAGACCGCCATATTGGCCTAATTTGAGTCAGGGGCGGATCCAGGAATTTTTGCAGGAGGGGTTTTGCCAGGTGCCTGAGACAATGCGAGTCCGGGTGGTTTCCAGATTACGTAGGCATACACACTGAGGTTTGTAAAGAGAGAAATAACAACACCCCGTTTGACATCAATTTTTCTTATGAATTAACATGATCAGTGATCACATTGTGATTCAATTTCATTGATGCAAGGGGGGTTGGATGGCTGAATGGTTAGCGTGCGCGCGCTGTATCATAAAGTCTGTCATTGAGTCGACTGGCGTGGTTTCGAATCCCCGGTTGTACGTGGCAAGGAGTAGGGTCGCCTGTCCAACCTCGTGGGTTTTCTCCGGGTCCTCCGGTTTCCTCCCACTGCTAAAGACCCCTACGCGCAAGCGAATTATGTAAATAAAATTAAAAACCATATGTTAGTCCCGAAATGACCTAGTTTGTGTCGAGTGGACGTTAAACCCCATTTCTCTCTCTCTCTCTCTCATTGATGAAATGCACTAATTGTAACATCACATATTAAGTCTATATCATTATCTCGCGCTTTGAATGCCAATCCCATCCTAACATCTGATGATAAAGGGTAATGCACACGACCGTGACTCTTTTGTCATAGAAAGTATGGCGTGAGTATGATGTTCTCTGGCATATCATTGAACCAAACTGCATTTGTTTCTTTTGCAATTTTCCGTCTTCATTAGCCCAATCGGAGCAGAACATTAGGACGCTAAACCCATTTCATTTCATTTCAAAACTATATGTAGTCTATAAACCGAGTAATCGGCTTTTGAGTACGTATTAAATTTATTCTAAAGATCGGATAACGCTCTGTGAGCAATAAAAGGGTGGTGATAAGGGATTAAAAGGCTAGCGATGTTCAACCTGACAACCCATATTAGTTTTGGTGTTTATAATAAATAAAATGAAATGAAATGGGGTTTAACGTCCTACTTTTCTGCTCCGACTGGGATAATGAAGACGGACATACGCCATACTGTGTGCTATGAAGGAAATTTTGCCCGGGCAGCGGCACTATGGCCTACTCTTATATCGAATTCCAACTGCATGTCAATGTGTACACGCACGGGACCTCAGTTTTCCGTCCCATCCGAACGACTAGGCAGCTGTTCTTGTCAGGTCCTCCGTCCCGCACCACTGACAAGGGCAAACCACGTCGGAAAAGTGTTTATAATACGTTTATACATTACCTTTATGACTGTTTGACTGTTTCCCACGTTTTGAAATAAATAATTGTCTAGGGTGACTAGAGATGTCAAATGACCACCGGCCGAATGACCCATCAGAAAAATATCTTCAAAGCATGTGTTTTCATGGAGAAGCGATTTAGCCCATTCAATGGTGGAGACGATTGATTTGGTCTGATGTTCATGGTTGACCCGAGGTAATGTCATCCGCTTGATTAACAACACACCCTGAGAAAGGATCGAAGTCAAAATAGCAACCAGATATAGACGGGAATCTGTTTCTACTATATAAATCAGCTGACTTAATGCACCAAAATATAATACCCATATACTAAACACTTCCCAATTTTCTAGTCTGTACTCCCTGCTTCTTGTAGCAAATAAAACTATCACTAAACTGTTATAACTGATTATTCCCACGCCTATAAAAGCGACCAAGCTCGATCCTAAAATACCCAGAAAGCACATTAACGTCAATATAACGCTGCTAATCAGTGTACACACAAATACACCTGCTACAAATGACGTCATCATTTCGAAGATCATTTGAGGTAGTTTCGCGCTTCCTAACGGGTACGATATCACAGCACAAGCTATACCAGAGGATGCCAAACATTCACCAACATTGCTATATAGGTTATAATACCACGTGAGAAACGCTGCAACGATGTTTGTGTCCTCGCAACTCAAGAAATGTTTCCATACTTTGCGACCACCCCTTCGCCAGCCACCACCATGGGCAAAAATAACTAGTGGGACAGTCGAGGAACTCTCATATCGTTGATGATCGGAAATCGATTCCTTGTTATCCCTGTTTCTAGTGGAACTGTGAGGTAATTTGAGTTTATGGGCATCAACCGAGAAGGGTACATACAGATCCAGACATGATTTATCACGTGATCGCTCTGTTCGCTGCTGGCCGTAGTATAAATCGTTAAGGACACTGAAATCCTCCATTAATGGCTCATCTAGCCAGAGTACAATTCTGAAAATAGAATAATAGTTATTATATACAAATTCACTATTTCATTGCCAGGCAGGGTAAGCTTATTCCCCCGGACACCTGTTACCACTGTTTGTCGTGTATTTTGTACACGAGGAGCAGTCCATTTGCTGATTACACTATTTTGCTTTAATACACTATTTTGCCTATAACGTTTTTTAGGACTTCGAATTCTGTCTTATGGTTTGGATTGTTCGTACTTGGTTTTATTTTATTATATTCCGGACAGCTGTGAATCCAATGGCGTATCTTAAGTTTGTTGTGCCTGGGACGGTCCTTGAAATTGCGCCTCATCGAAATTATACAGAGTACGGTATAGGCCGCTTTCCGGGGGAAACTTTCACTCATAGAACCCTGCATCTTGCCTTCAGTACTCGGGTAGGCACAGAAAAGTAAGCTCCATTTGATATCATTTCACGTTTGACGAAGTTTGCTGCGGATCAATTTGTATTATGGGGGTACTCGATTGAACGTTCCGGAATTGAATTCTCTCAATCACAAAAATATTGACAATCGAGTGAAAAGGTGGATTTCGAGCTACAACGCATGCGTCGACTGAATAAGTAAATATCTCAACCAACCATGCAGCCGAAATATATTCGTTGTGTTTAATTACGTCACGATTCTACTCAGACCAGCTCCGTTGTCGGGACTAACAGAACTGTGACAGAACTGAATTCAGCGTTACTCGATTGCAATTCTGTCAATTCGGGACGTTCTGGACTGTGAATCGAGCATCCCATGAATTGACCTTGGAATTGCGCCCCAAACCTTCTCACAATCACATACACCTCAAGAATGCTTAAAATGTTAAACAAACTGCAATGATTTCCTGGAAAAATAAAATTGTGCTAGGCATCTTGTATCCTTCTATTGTCTAGATACGATAGACCAAACGTGACGCTGCCATTGCCTCTCTAGCATCGCTATTGCACGAAACATAATTTTTAAGAACTTGAATAAATACTAACTATCCATTATAATTATATCGGAATATATATTGAGACACACTTCAATTAAGGTGAGAATATGCTGTTGACAGCAGCTGTCAGCAAACACATACCTTATTGATATGAATCGATATCCTTTATATTATATATACTATTCAAAAAAAGTAGGGGATATTTGATTTTTAAGTGTTATTAAAGTCACCTAATGAAACTGACGAAGAAACAAATGACAAAATGAAATGAAGTTCACATTCATCGATTTATTCCAAATGATCGTTAGACTAAGTAAGGCACAGACTGACCATTATAAGGGTAAAATGATACCCGGGGTCAAACAGCAAAGTTACCACAGCATCACAACCAAGTCAGTAACGGGTAAATCCTCCTCTGTTTGCCAAACAAGCATTGATCCGACGTGGCATACTCCTAATGAGACGTCTAAGGTCATTTTGGTCCAGATTGTCCCATTCCTGTTGCAACGCAGCAGCAAGTTCTTGGACATTGGCAGGACGTTGTTGACGTTGACGTAACCTCTGTCCAAGCATGTCCCAGACATGCTCGATGGGGGAGAGGTCGGGACTCAGTGCTGGCCAAGGTAATGTGGTGATGTTCTGTTGTTGGAGGTAACCTGTAACGATCCTGGCCCTGTGACATCTTGCGTTGTCATCCTGGAAGATGAAACGGCGGCCATGACGTCGTGCGAACGGCACAACATGGACTGCCAAGATGTTGTCCCGGTAGTACTGGCCTGTAACACGCCCTGCAACAACATGTAAAGCCGTTCTTCCAGCAACAGTGATGCCTCCCCACACCATAACAGAACCACCCCCAAATCGATCATGTCTGATGACGTTAACGTCTTGGAAGCGCTCGTTTCGACGACGCCACACCCTCCTACGTCTGTCCAAAAAATCAACAGTGAACCATGACTCATCTAAAAACATCACATTGCTCCAGCGTCGATTATCCCAGTGTTGACGATCCCTACACCAACGACGTCTTGCCTGAATGTGATGATCTCTCAAACAAGGGATCACGCGAGGACGTCGGGCGCGAAGGTGACCCCTATGCAGTCGATTCCGAATCGTCTGGCCACTCACTCTCACACCAGTGTCTGTTTGAAGACGAGCGCTGATCTGATTTGCTATGATGACACGATTTCTCAAGGCCAAGGTACGGATAAATCGATCCTGGGCTTGAGTTGTCGCCCTTGGTCGACCTGAGCGTGGTCTGTCCTGTACAGATTGTGTATCACGGTATCTGGACCATAGCCTGCTTATGACAGACTGAGAAACATTCATCGTCCGCGCCACAACCGCCTGTGTTGTGCCGATCTGTAGCATGCCAAGGGCACGTAACCTTTCATTTTGGGTAAGCCGACGCATATCAAAATTTGTTTTCTGGTCACTAAAACAATTAAACTGATGTTTCCACCCTGGAATTCAATGCCACAATGACTGTAACATTAAAAGTCAGAGTCGTGCAAATCTTGGGTTGGACCCCCATGATGATCCCAAGCATCACCTGCATTCCATGCGGTAGCTATTGGTGCGTTTGGGCATCACATGTAACTGGAAATGTTTCTTCTGTTAGGTTCTATAGTGACTTTTTTCGTAGTCATTTGCATATTTTAGTATTATGCCCCCAAAATCAAATATCCCCTACTTTTTTTGAATAGTATAGGTGAGAGAAAAAAATTGGGTGTAACGTCCACTCGATACAAACCAGGTCATTTCGGGACTAACATATGGTTCAATTTTATTTCAATAATTCACTTGCGCGTTAGGGATTCTTTAGCAGTGGGAGGAAACCGGAGGACCTGGAGAAAACCCACGAGGTTGGAAAGGCGCCCCTACTGCCTGTCACCTATACAAGCTGCGAATCGAAACCATGCCACTTGACTTAATGACAGACCTTATGATCTAAAGTGCGCACCTTAAACCATTCGCCCCCCCACCCCATATTATTATTATATAGGAGATTATATTTAGGAAAAACTTCTTTAATAAAGGCGAGAATATCCTAGTGGCAGCAGCTGTTAAAACATCCATACTCTAAAAATATTTTTCTTACACTTATATGTACACAGATCACCAAATATTTCAAATATTTCTAAGCCGTCACCGCGAAAGTTATTTTTAGTTTTTCTCTCCCTTTCCCTTTTTCCATCTTTTGCATGGCGATTATTGTTGACTTTTTGATGTAGAATCGAAGAAAAGGGTTTGAAAATACATTTTCTGCCAGGTTTTGGTGAATATTTATAATTTTGATGCGGAATGATAGGATACAAGAGTTGAGAGGTTGGTTCGGTTGAAATGTAGGGTCCAAAATTGCATGTTTACTTGTCTCTTCTTCCAGCTTGTGTATCTCAAGTTTTTCATGCAATCTGAACGACAGACTCACCCTACCTGCAGAGAAGTGACTCTGACACAAGGCTGTAGTTAGGGTCGTGTGACTAACCTTGCGGAAGTCTTCCGGGTTAGTGCTAAATGATAAGGCCAGCTTAATTTTTCGTCATAGGTCACGAGATGTAAACAGGGCTAGCGCTAATCCCAACGCTAACCCTGGACCTAGCCCCAATGCTTACCCTAATCCACAATCTCGCCAACAATCACTTGTGGTAACCTTATTTACATCTCAGGGACCTTGCGAAAAATTGAACTGGCCTTAACAAATAGATTTAATTAGCGGTAGTTAGGGTCGTGTGCTTAATAACCTTGCGGATTTCTTCCGGGTTATCAGGTGCCCCAAGGACATATACCACGATATACCACACCACGTGCTAATCTCTGTATGACCTGGTTGTTTGTAGATATTTTTACGAAACAACGTTACACGCCGAAATATACATAAATGTCAGGTTTAGTTATTTCAAGTATAAAGTACTATATTGTTCCATGGTTATAGGCAGATATTTGTTGCCTGGAAACCTATCTTTATCTAATCAATAATGAAACGCTGACGTCAAAAGGGTGTATCTCGGGAATTTAGTCAAATACACTTTTCTGCAATTAATATGTACATTTCTGTCTAAGCTGTGTATCTCTGCGCCAATTAGAACTGTTCTGGGTATCATATGTGTCCAAATGTTATATCTTGATTTGTGGAAATTTTGTAATGCAAAAGGTTCTATTTCTTAATCTTTAGAAATTCTTGGACACACCCTTTTGTCACTTCACCGATGAGACTAAGCTGCTTCTGGAAAGTTATTAAAAGCCAACCTTCTAGATATACTCCTTATATCGAATGCCAACTGCAAAGGGATCTTTTACGTGCACGCTTTTTCGTCACATCCGAACGGCTAAACAGCTGTCCGGACAAGGGGAAACAACGTAGGAGAGTCCCGATGAACTTTCTCCGCCAACACCGGGATCGAGCACGGAACCTCCAGGTCAGCGAGCTAACGCCTTACCCGGGGGTTGGATGGCCGAATAGTTAGCGTGTGCGAGTTGTATCATAAATTCTGTCGTTGAGTCAACTGGCGTGGTTTCGATTCCCCGGTTGTAAGTGATAAGGAGTAGGGGCGCCGGTCCAACCTCGTGGGTTTTCTCAGGGTCCTCCGGTTTCCTTCCACTGCTAAATACCCCTATGCGCAAGCGAATTATTGAAATAAAATTGAACCATATGTTAGTCTCAAAATGACCTAGTTTGTATCGAATGGACGTTAAACCCCATTCTCCCTCTCTCACTTGACAGCTGGAGATCGAAATGATACAGAGTACGGTATATAAACTGTTGTCTGGGGAAACGTTCACTCATCATAGCACACTGTATGGTACATGCTTGTCTTTATCCCACTCGGCAAACCTCAGCAGTCTATTCCAGCACCCTACATCTAGCGACACAGAGAGAGGCAGAGAAATGGGGTTTAACGACCACTCGACGCAAACTACATGTATGTCATTTCGGGACTAACACATGGTTCAGTTTTATTTCAACTGTGGGAGGAAACCAGAGGACCCGGAGAAAACCCACGAGGTTGGACAGGCGACCCTACTCCTTGTCACGTACAACCGGGGAATCGAAACCCCGCCAGTTGACTCAATGACAAACCGTATGATACAGCGCAGCGCGCACGTGCTAACAATTCGGCCATCGCCCCACCCCCACATATAACTGTGGAGTAACGAATCTTCCGAGGTTTGCCGAGTGGTCTAAACGTAAGGCGTTAAGCCCTATTGATATCATTTCACGTCTGCTGCGGATCAATTTGTATTATGAGTTGACCTACTTTTTTTTATTTTTAGTAACAGATTGACCTCAGGCCTAGTTATTATACAATGGCGGACGCGATATAAGCTGGCTAATAACTATAATAACAAACTAACGGTACACTGTTACATCTCGGCCTCGTTGACAAGTACCTGCGTCGTGTTCAGGTTAGTGAAAGCTTAAAGAAGAAACAGCCATTTTATTTACGCTGTGTTAATAAAGTCAATACAAAAAACAGTGTATGTAGTCATAATAGAAATGAAATGGGGTTTAACGTCTTACTGTTCTGCTCCTAAACTGGGCTAATGAAGACGGGCATACGCCATACAGTGTGCTATGAGGGACATTTTGCCCGGGCTGCGGCACTACGGCCTACTCTTATATCGAATTCCAACTGTCAAGAGATCTTTTACGTGCACGCCAATGTATACACGGGACCTCGGTTTTTCGTCCCATCCGAACGACTAAACAGCTGTCCTTGTCACACCATCCGTCCTGCACCACTGACAAGAGGAAACCACGTCGGAAAATCCTGCTGAACTAACTCTCTCGGCCAATACAGGGATCGAACACGCGACCTCCAGGATAGCGAGCCAGCGTCTTACCCACTTAACCACCGTGACTCCAGTCATAATAGACTATAATACCTGAATCAAAGGGTCAATTACTACATCACTAATAACCTCCCTTGAAATAACCCCAGGCAATCACTAATCAATGAAAATACATACAATTATATACTTGCTTTTTCGTTAAGATCACTTGACTGCCTCTTATTCGACCTTGTCATATGATAAACACCACTCAGCTATATAGATCACGTGCCAGATAGATAACAAAAACAGTTATATCAAAAAGTAAACAAAACGCAAGTGGCATATTGGGTTAGGGGTCAGGGGTCAGGGGGTGAGTATTGTATTTTTTTATTGTCGTATACAAGAACATTCACAAAATAACCTCGTGGGTTTTATCCGGGTTCTCCGGTTTCCTCCCGCTGCTAAAGACCCCTACGCGCAAGCGAATTATTGAAATAAAATTGAAACATATGTTAGTCCAGAAATGACCTAGTTTGTGTCGATTTGACGTTAAACTCTCTCTCTCTCTCTCTCCCTCTCTCTCTCTCTCTCTCTCTCATTTACAAAAAAATATGAAATACCTATAGTCGTTCGGGTGAGACGAAAAAACCGAGGTCCTGTGTGCTCATATGCGTGCACGTTAAAGAACTCAGTTGGAATTCGTTTTAAGAGTAAGCCATAGTGCCGCTCTCCGGGCAAAATTTCCCTCCATATCGCACTGTATGGCGTATGCACATCTTCATTAGTCCAGTCGCCGCTCTTCTATTCCATTTAATATTTCGGCCATGTAAATAATTGTCTAAATGATAATTTTATAACATTTAAAGCTAGAAAAAAGCCCTGCCACAGCCGGATTCAATTCTTCCGTATGCCAAAAGTCTCTATCGGGACAATCCTATCGTAGCGCAAGGCACGACAGTGGGAAATTAACATAAAGGACCGTACATTATGTTCGTGCAGCTGTGTGCAAATATATATATAACTATTAAACAAAGGCAGGTGTGTTGTTGACTTAGTTAAACTTATTATTTATTTAATATAGAAACGCCCAATAGACATACATTAATTTACTATATAAATATTACACGATAGTCTGTTATTATTGTATGGGAATCGTATTGAACAGTTTATCTCAGGTTCTTTATTGAGGAGAATATTATTTAATATAAATTTGATATTGGATTCGGTTGAATAGATTCTTTTGTTATTTATAAAAATGTACATCATAATAGCATGTATTAGTGCAGGTTGTGGAGAAAGCCAACTTCAATAGAAGACTTGATCTCGCCTTAACTACGTACATCTTATCAAGCCCTTCACGTAAATACCCCGCATATTTCGGCACTAATTTCGACTGGGTAGAAGCCCTTCAGATGTCGTAAAACTCGCGGTCATAATTGTTTTACAATTTTTTTATGTGCTACAATGAAGACGGGCATACGCCATACAGTGTGCTAGTCGTTCGGATGAGACGAAAAACCGAGGTCCCGTGTACACATTGGCGTACACGTAAAGGATCCCTTGGCAGCTGGAATTCAATATAAGAGTAGGCCGTAGCGGTTAAACCCCATTTCATTTCATTTCTTAGTGGCCGTTTAGGGGTTCATAAACTATATTACACCTCTTTTCATTACAATAAATCTCTTGAATTTCATTATATTGTAGGCACCCAATAGATCGAGGACTATAATATAGTATTCTATAATACATATATGGTGAGAGAGAGAGAAATGGAGTTTAACGTCCACTCGACACAAACTAGGTCATTTCGGGACTAACATATGGTTTAATTCATTTAAATAATTCGCTTGCGCGTAGGGGTCTTTAGCAGTGGGAGGAAACCGGAGGACCCGGAGAAAACCCACGAGGTTGAACAGGCGACCCTACTCCTTGTCACGTACAACCGGGGATTCGAAACCACGCCAGTCGACTCAATGACAGACTTTATGATGCAGCGCGCGCACGCTAACCATTCAGCCATCCCCCCCTCCACATATAAGGTAAATGCCGTGCTGAGCGCAGCAAAGAGAAACATTCGAAAACCTGTCCTTAAATCTCAATAATACCCAAATGTTTTTCAGAACAGGGTTAGAACTCCCCATATACAGGATTTTTTATTGGCCTATAAATACAACTAGATAAAAAGATGCACAAGACAATTCTGATTCTAATAAAACAAAAAAAGGTGACGTTCGTAAATTAATGTCAAACACGACGTTTCCCCGTTGACTCCCCACCAACGATCTACTAAATAAAAATATTTTAATGCTATGGTTGATTGGACTCACTGGTGGCTCAGTGAGTAGGACGTCGACTCGCTAACCTGGAGGTTTCTGCGTTGGCCGAGGGATTTTCCGGTGCTGTTCGCCCTTGCCATTGGTGCAGGACAGATGGTCTGGAATGGGAATAGTCATTCAGACGGGACAAAACAAAACAAGGTCCCGTGTACATAGATATTGGCGTGCACGTAAAATATCCTTTGGCAATTGGGATATAATATAACAGATGGCTGTAGCGCTGCTGTCCGGGCAAAATTTCCATCAGAGCACACTGTTTGGTATGGCGTATGCCGAACATGCTGTCTAGTCATTCGGATGAGACGAAAAACCGAGGTCCCATGTAAACATTGGCGTTCACGTAAAAGATCCCTTGACAGTTGGAATTCGATATAAGAGTAGGCCGTGGTGCCGCTGTCCGGGAAAAATTTCCCTCATAGCACACTGTATGGCGTGTGCCTGTCTTCATTAGCCCAGTTCGGAGCAGAACAGTAGGACGTTAAACCCCATTTCATTTCTCATTTCCGTCTTCCAATCTGATTATAATACAGATCTATATTTCGTTTCGTTTTTTTTATACTTTCGATGGCCTACACTACATTATGATCTGACCGGTTGTAATGAAAGATCGCGTCAGGGGTCGTACGAGCGGCTTTTGACCTATGACGTCAGGTATTGATTAATCAATCAGCGTTGACGTTTCTAGTGGTTTACCGACAGTTCCGTGCACCACACGCCAAGAACTCGCCGTAACAGACCGTTTCATTGACTAATCCCTCACGCTTCCCAGAACGCGGGTTATATAACAATCATAGTGTAGTAAAGACAAGTAAAACAAAATTTTGAACTATAAAAATCGAAACGAAATAGGATCTGTGTTTTAATCAGATTGGCCCGTCTTCAATAGCCCAGTCGGAGCAGAAAAGTAGGATGTTAAACACCATTTCACTACATTTTCATTTGTTTAACAAAATACAACTATACACCGAGTGTACGTTTTATTCATAAGAAGTTATATAAATTTCTAACTCAATAACATCCATAATCTGCGACTTTAATACACGAATTCAATAACAGTCTATTTCTATCAATATTGATGTTTTTATCTTACCGTGAAGATATGTATTATAAGCAATGGTAATTAAGCGTAGAGTGCAAAGCAAAAAATAATCCGCCATTCGGTTTCTGAAAACAAATTTGCTGTTGAATTGGCTAGGGAGCGGGTGGAAAGTGGGTTTGTGACGGCCAAGGTATGTTCCACATCAGTAAGCTGGGCTTTCGTGCGAAACGAAACTAAAATTTGAAAAACAATCACTGTTCCGACAGAAACAACAAACTTGTTTTCAATGCAGTAAACCAAAAAAAAAAAGAAAAAAAAAAGTGCAGTCCCTAAAGAGTACACGCCCCGCTTAAGCTAGGCTACTGCAATTGTAACAGTCTCCATTTCACAACAGATTCATTTTACTTCGTCCATAACGTTAAAGGGGCATCATGGAAGATTAGATAGTAGTTAAACACTAGATAATGCAAAGGGAATATGCTGAATATTTCAGTCAAACTACTTCACTCTGAGACGAGAAAACCGAATTTAAAAAACGCTGTAGACTCGATTATCATTGTTGCCGTTGTTACGATAATAAACAGCCGTTGCATCGCAGGTTGGATTCAAATCTGTTTAACATCGTACCCATCAGATGGCATCGAGAGTTGATTATGGTCCTGTCATGTTAATAAATGTCTAATTAATAGTTTATATAACATTTAAGGCCTAAAGAAAGACTTGCAAATAGGCAGATTTAGCACTTGAATAATGTTTGTTTAACAAAGTTACTCTCCAGGCATTGTCATACTTTTCAGCATCCATATTAACTATGAAAAGCAGGCATATATGTCTAAATAACTTTACAATTGGGAATAAATACGAATTGTAGAAACACCCACATTCAATCTGAGTTCGGGTTTTAAAAGTGATAACTCTCGATTTCATTGTCTACGGTAATGTAGCCATTACCCGCAATTTTATCGGAATCATCCGTATCGCTAGCAACGGTACGTGAATCCCATCTGAAATCATGGACAGACATATCATCATGGTTGTCCTTCACCAGATACGTTTTCTTCCACACTTCCTGGTAGACTTCGGTTGGGGCTATAGTTCTCACACTAGGGGCCACACTAGGCGCCACACTGGGGGCCACACTGGGGGCTAGACTTGCTGTTAGATTCTCCGGTATTTGACCATACTTGATTTTCTGAGCATGAGATAGTTCTATGGGTTTTAAAGATTGACCATCCAAATGTTTAGCTAACTGACCAGCTCCAACAAACATTTGTGTTTGGGGTTTAGGCGGTGGTGGCACCGGCTCGGGTTCTTCTATCACTATGGTTTCTGTTCTGACTTGGCGAGATTCGGGCGGTGCACTTTGAAGACATATGCGCGGCAAGCCATACAGGAAATACGTTGATTCGCCCAATCGTGATGTAAAATAGTCACAAGTACCGTACGTGTCTTTCATGTGTAAACGTTTCAGCTCATCGGTGTCGGAATAGATTAAAAAACGATCGATATCAATTCTCTTCTCTCTTACTGTTGCTTCATCCACAGGCTGGGCATTTCGTGATGGAACCTAGAAATACGACAATATTTGGTAGCTATGTGAAATCGCAATATGTAAGTGATATCAGGTGTTCTAGAACAGGGAAATGGGTGGTCATTGAGTCAAATGGCGTGGTTTCGATTCCTCGGTTGTACGTGATAAGGAGTAGGTTCGACTGTCTAACCTCGTGGGTTTCCTCCAACTGTGGTGTCGCGCTTTGAGCATAAACTTAGTTTGTGGATATAGCGCATTATAAATATGCACATTATTATATAAAGACCCAAACGCGCAAGCGATTTATTGAAAAAAATGGGACGAAAAACCGAGGTCCCATGTACACATTAGCGTGCACATAAAGATGCATTGGCAGTTGGAATTCGATAGAAGAGTAGGCCATAGCGCCGCTGCCGGGCCAAATTTCCCTCATAGCACACTGTATGACGTATGCCCGTTTTCATTAGCCCAGTCGGAGCAGAACAGTAGGACGTTAAATCCCATTTCATTTCATTTCATTCCAACCTTAGGAGCCAAATCAATGTCCAAAATGTTCTCCCTTATAAAGTCTCGTTGCGATGAAATGAAATGGGGTTTAACGTCCTACTGTTCTGCGACCTCCAAACTAGCGAACCAGCGTATTCCTCAATGAGCCACCGCGCCTCCCACTTAAAAAAAACATTCGCTCACACCCGGGATCTAAAATTACAACCGCAAGATAGAAGTGACCGAGCAGCTTGAGCTCTTAACGTGACACTGACATCACGTTGACACTTTACTTATGTCATTATGCGACTAACACACGGACATTTTATTTCTATTCCTTACGTGCACAGTCCAAGAGGGCAGTTTGGCCATGACAGCTGTGTTTTTTTTTCAAATGATCTAAGTTTTTCAAGTTTCAATGGTTCCTTCCTTCCGCACGAACGATCTCACAGGCGCCACCCCTGACACGCGGACACAACTGTTGAAAAATCGCGATGATTTTGTCGGGTCACACGAACCTTGGACATTCTTGTCCCTGGCCACATGGCTACCACCATCCTAACTTGACTACTACGAACCCCGACTTGACCACCCTCACTTGGCTACCACGAACCCCGACTTGTCTACCACGAACCTTGAATTGACTACCTCGACCCCGAATTGTCTACCACGAACCGCCCTTAACTAACACGAACCCCGACTTGACTACCAAGACCCCATATTTCAAACAGTATGAACTAATTTTAACATCTAAAATTTGAGAAACAAGCAAACTTACAGGTAGATTTCTGATAAAGGAATGATTGACATTTGTTCTCCACATGGCCCATTTATGTAGTTTATCTTTCCCGGTTATAAACGTGTCAAAATCAGGTCGAAAGATACTAGCCACTTCCGTTATTGGTTGTCCATCAAACTGATGATTAACCTGCAAAACAATAAATACACGAAATGAAATGAAATAATAATAATAAAACTTTATTTAATGAGGCAACGTATTTAGTTTGCAAAAAAACTAATCTTCCATAGGTCCCTCCTAAGCTACAAAGACATATCTACATGTAATATCAGGATAAATTCAAAATCATTTGAAATGCAATAGCATTTTAAATTGGGAAATTTAGGAAGTCACTCCTAAACTACAAAACATATACATTATTCAAGTAGAATATAGGAAGAACACTATAATTACACACAAAATAAGTTAAAAATAATAAGTATGTCATCAGTTGCAAGTTAAAAATAATAAGTATGTCATCAGTTGAATATTATGGTTCCTTCAGTGTGCAAAATAAATGAGTTTTCAGTTTAATCTTAACGTCCTACTGTACTGCTCCTAAACTGGGCTATTGAAGACGAGCATACACCATACAGTGTGCTATGAGGAAAATTTTTCCCGGGTAGCGGCACTATGGCCTACTCTTATATCGAATTCCAACTGCCAAGGGATCTTTTACGTGCCCTTCGTCCTGCACCACTCACAAGGGGAAACCACGTTAGCCACCGCGGATTCCTAAATACACAATCTATGTTATATTTCTGACTGTTGTCTGTCTGTCTGTTTGTCGGTTCAGGGTTGGCGACTACACTAGGGATGTCCCGAGGCTGCAATTTGGTGTATACGGGTAGCTCGGAACGGGGGTAACATAGGCTAGAGGGCGTTGGACTACCACTTCCGGTTTAAACTTTATTTCTGGGGACGTTTCGACAAAGGTTTCTCTCACCGTTGTCAAGGAAGGAATCAATATGTATATTCCTGGTGAAATTTTGACAGGGGTTCTCTCGTTTTTATCAAACAAAGGTTTAGCTAAATGGATCCCTCAAAGCATTTCATTTTTCTGATTTAGACTTTAATAAGTCAATTTCTTAGATTAGTTTGATTTTGGTAGGCAGCGTTAGTTTGGTAAGCAAGGTTCAGATCTAAATATTATATGAGGTAAGTCTCTAACTCAATATCATCCACAGTCTTCGACTTTGAAAACACGAATTATTTGTCACTTTCAATCAACATTGATGTTGTTATCTTACTGTGAAAAGCTGGTCTTCTGAAATCCAATATTTAAGACAAAATGAAATTTTTTAAACTGGGACACGAATGGCGTGTCAGAATGCTTTCGAGAGCCATTTGATAAACGAGACTAAACATATCCCACAGGAGAATACTACCGGTGTACATTGGAATAACCTGACTTCAAAGACTGCCATTCAATTTGAACTCTTCGCGTATTTCGCCGAACATAACTGATTAGAAATTACAGTAAAAACGGAAACGATTGAATATAAATCAGTTTATATACATTCATATTACATTATTATATGCGTTGCCACCCATTTGTGTCAATTTCTAGGTCCCAAAGATTAAGCTCCTACCTGCCGATTTCGTCACGGTCGCGAGATGTAAATAGGATTAAGGCACGTGATTGTTGCCGAGATTGTGCATTAGGGTTAGGGTAAGGGTTAGAGCTAGGTGTAGGGTTGGGTTAGCGCTGGCTCTTTTTACATCTCGTGACCTTGACGAAATCTACAGGTGAAGAAGGTGACGGAACTTCGAAGTTTCCAACTATCAGATTGTCACGACCGAAATATGAATCTAGGAATCTAGTCAAGAGAGTGGTCCTTTCCAGGCTAAATCCCCCCCCCCTCCCCACACTACCACCACCTCCCACTATCATGACCATAGACAATAAAAAAATATAACTATATAGGTTAGTCTCAGAGTAACCGGGGGGGGGGGGGGGTGGATGGTTGAATGGTTAGCACATGCGCGCTGTATCATAAGGCCTGTCATTGAGTCAACTGGCGTGGTTTCGAATCCCCGGTTGTACGTGACAAGGAGTAGGGTCGCCTGTCCAACCTCGGTTTTTTTTCTCCGGGTCCCCCGGTTTCCTCCCACTGTTTAAGACTCCTACGCCGAAATACTGTGTTGACGAGTCATTACTCATTACGGATTTCGAAGTCGTTCTCTGGTTGCTAGAAAAAATCTTTTGATTAACATGAATTGGCTCTAGATTAAAATACCCGTAAAAATTGAAAGAAATTTGAGATCCTTTATCTTGATGATTTACATGTTTAAATATTTAAGTTGTTTTGAATACGTTTAATTTCGCCCATTGCAAATCTCTTAATTAGGCGCATTTGAATTATTTTTTACATGATACACCCATTAAAATTTCTTAATATTTTGATAATAATTAGGTGATTCTATATAGTTATTATGAAAATCATATTAATCAAAATTAATTAAACATACATTATGCAAGATCTGAATCTGCCTATTGTAGGTCTTTCTTTAGCCCTGAAATGTTATCTAAATTATTAATTAGACATTAATTAACTTATCCAGACCATAATCAACTCTCGATGACATCGGATTTCTCCAATATTAAATAGATTAAAACAGTTCAGCCATATTTTGATTTAAGCTAAAAATGGAGATGCGAGACTTAGCTTCGAACAACCAGTACGGTGGTTGAAATTATTGCACACGTCTTGTCAAACCTTCCAAGGCTAATATCTTCGATCGCAATTCTCAAATTATTCATTTTACATTATTTATTTTCGAACTATTGTGGCAAGAATGGCTAGCTCTTTATCTAAATCTTACATAATGTTATGTATTAAGTATTAGCGATAATGTCGCTTTAAAAACCTCGATTCCATTCCTGTAAATGTAAACAAACTAAATGTTTTTTTTTTAAAAAGAAGAAGAAAAGCATTATCACTCAATAAGAAATCCGATCCATCTACTTACCAATTTATAAGGTTCACGAACTGGAACAGATATTAGAGAAGTCATCTTGGATTGATTTGACAGAGTCAGATCCCCTTTCTAAATCAACATATAAATATATATATGAACGTAACGATATAAGGCCCACGATTGTCAAATCCTATTATGATGGTTTCATGGGATATTATATTATGATATAGATGTTCGCTTAGGCCAAACCAACAAAAGTGGTTCTTGTGACAGTCTGATTCAAATACAGATCTCTATTTCGTTTCGTTTTTTTTTAAATACTTTTGATGGCCTCTGCTACATGAAGATCTGATTTGCTGTAGTGGAAGGTCTGACGTCATAGGGTCGAAACCCGCTCGTATGACCTCTGACGCGACCTTCCACTACAACCGATGAGATCTTCATGTAGTAGTAGACATCGAAAGTATATATATATATAATAAAAAACGAAACGAAATATAGATCGGGGGCCTGTTTCACGAAATTTTAACTAAGATAAAATCCAAATTTTAGTAATTTGATTGGATAATTGGATTGATTTGAGTGCTTAGCCAATCAAAATTGAAGTATCTACTAAAATTTGGATTTTATTTTTAGTTAAAATTTCGTGAAACAGGGCCCCGATCTCTATTTCGTTTTGTTTTTTTATATACTTTTGATGGCCTCTGCTACATGAAGATCTGATTTGCTGTAAGGTCGCGTCAGAGGTCATACGAGCGGCATATGACCCTATGACGTCTGACATTTGATTAATCAATCAGCGTTGATGTTTCTAGTAGGTTACCCACAGTTCCGTGCACCTCACGGCTAAAACTCGTCGTAACAGATCGTTTCATTGGCTAATCCCTCACATCATCCAGAATGCGGGTTATATAACAACCCTTCCAGATCCTAGAGTACTACAGACAAGTAAAAAGAAATTTTGAACAATAAAAAACGAAACGAAATAGAATCCGTGTTTTAATCAGGTTGTTATTATATTGTGCTCAATTTTCTACTTTATAAAATACGAACTATTATTAAGATGCAGTGAACTTATTGACCCCCAGTTTTGTTTTGATAATATATGATACTGGTTTTTCAACCATACACTTTGTTCTAAACGCGCTGTGTTGTAATTAAGGAGTTAATCAATCCCATATGATCTGTGTACAGCGTGGGCGACCTTCGGATGTAGACTATGGTCGCGACTACAGTCTGAACCAGCACCCAAACGCAAATGGCCCTAGCACTGACTATGTCAGTTGTTCCACCTGCTTTATTTTCTCCTATTTACTCATGTATTTTTAAAAACTGGTTAATTTTCCATACTGCGATGTGAAAGCAAGCTTAAAATAGGTTACAAATTTAGTCAATATCAAAATATTTTTCATTGGACTTATGTCACCCAACCAAGATCATTTCACACGTACAGTTTTTTGTCGTGTGCCTATATATTCAAATAAGAAGATCCTAATCTGTCAAATTCATCAAAAAAAGACGAAAAAAAAAAAAAAAAAATCAAATTTAACATCTATACTACAATGCCCATTCACTAACATTCAGGTGTTAACATGAACCCTATAATACCGACCAAGGTGTAAATAACGCAACGGCAATCGGCAATTTTATTCTATTTTTCAGAAAATCTTCTCAAATGTCAGTTTTGTCAGCCATCTTTGAACTATCCCGACCGTGCTTTATCGCATGGTACGGCTGGTCACGACCACTGGTTGAACTAAATGTCATTCGCATGCAGATGGTTCGACTATAGTACGAAAATCCGTGCAACCGAAGGTCGCCCTGGTGGTCAGCTAATTTAAACAACTCCACTTTGTGTCGTAAGAATCAATTCCTTAGAAGAAGGGGGTTGGATTGCCGAATGGTTAACGCGTGCGCGTTTTATCATAAGGTCTGTCATTGAGTCAACTGGCTTGGTTTCGATTCCCCAGTTGTATGTGACAAGAAGAAGGATCGCCTGTCCAACCTCGTGGGTTTTCTCCGGGTCCTCCGGTTTTCATTCCACTGCTAAAGACCCCAACGCGCAAGCGAATTATTGAAATAAAATTGGACCATGTGTTGGTCGCGAAATGACCTAGTTTGTGTCGAGTGGACGTGAAATGAAATGAAATGAAATGGGGTTTAACGTCCTACTGTTCTGCTCCTATACTGGGCTAATGAAGACGGGCATACGCCTTTTATCGAATTCCAACTGCCAGGGGATCTTTTTCGTGCATTCCAATATATACACGGGACCTCGGTTTTTCGTCTGATCCGAAGGACTAGACAGCTGTCTCTGTCAGGCCCTCCGTCCTGCACCACTGACAAGAGGAAACCACGTCGGAAAATCTGGATGAACTTTCTCGGCCAATGGTCGAGTGGGCGTTAAACGCCATCTCTCTCTCTCTCTCTCTCTCTCTCTCTCAATTCCTTAAAAAGACGTTTAAATCAACTTTCTCTACTGTTGAAAGGTATATAAACATAACTCTACTGACAGACGAGACTCACCCGAGTTCAGACGCTGCTGATTTTCAGACGACCAACCAAGTACGTTTTGGTTTTAAATCATTATTTCACCCGAAGTAATACGAAGCAAAATTTAGATACGTGTTCCCGAACACCTAACATTTGAATTGGCGTGGCCTTATAAATAGTAAAGTGACGTATGAATTTTAAACAAGGAGGGGAGCCAAGGAGAAAATCACCTGGGCGATAAAAAGGTCTTTACCTATCTATTATTAGAGTTTGATGTATAGATAAATTAGGATCCGGGCGTTGTCGTAAAAATAATAACTCATAACCATAGATATAGTCACGAAAATCTTAAACGATTTTATTGACTTTAGTGAACACGCACCAAGAGACGCCTTGTATTAGGGGAATAATAATATAAGTTCAATTTGAAAGGCGACTAAACTAGATTTTATACAAGTATAATGTTATTTATTTAGATCTACCCAAATGTATTTTACGTTTTCTTTAAATAAACTGTACCTTTGTACAGTAACGAAAGCTCAGGGATAAGAAATGGGTGTGGGGGGGGGGGAGAGGGAGGGAGAGAGAGAGAGAGAGAGAGAGAGAGATGGTGGTTAACGTCCACTCGACACATACTAGGTTATTTCGGGACTAACATGAGAACCCGGAGAAAGCCCACGAGGTTGGAAAGGCGTCCCGGACTACCCCTTGTTACGTACAAAGACTCAATGACAGACTTTATGATACAGCGCGCACGTGCCAACCATTCAGCCATCCAACCCCCATGGGGAGGAGAGAGAGAGAGAGAGAGAGAGAGAGAGAGAGAGAGTTAACGTCCACTCGACACATACTAAGTTATTTCGGGACTAACGTACGGTTCAATTTCATTTTAATAATTCGCTTGCGCGTAGGGTCGTTAGCAGCGGGGTGAAACCGGAGTTCCCGGAGAAAACCCACGCGGCTGGACAGTGTAGTACCATGGGTCGTCTGTCAAACGTGGAGAGCGGACACCGGGACAACCGGTCGCCACATCCGTCGTATTGTCTCTAGTTGCATTGGTAATTCTTTAACTGGTTAGGACGTATCTGTAAATGCCACTCCGACATCCCACATTAATGACAGTTTCAAGTTGTGATTGAATATACTGCATCTTAAATGATATCATCAACAGGAACAACAAATACCATATTTCGGTTCTACATTTTATATTAAGCACTGCTACATATAGGTTACATAGTTACAAGCATTATAATAGAGTCATTCTCTCAAACCACATCCAGCCAGACTCTGTGAGTCTGCTGATACAGATTGCTACATGCTCTCCCTTCAAGAACTACATGGCTGTCTGCGGTAGCGCCCAAATCCAATTACTTGTATATGCCTAGATTTCCGCTACTAATTATTGAATTAGCCAAATGCTACGTAATTAATTATAATGATTGGTTAAAAGGTCCATTACGTGTTTTTAAACCACAGACATACCCCATACCTTGCATACCAAACTTGGTCAACAGACACCTTCCATTTCTGACCATTAATGTGGCAGATGACAATGTGTTTATTAACCTATAGTTCAATTCATATATCATATCAGCACAGGCTTCCCTTCTGTATTTCTCACAATATTTCATAACCAATGTAATTTGCGTTTCAGATAAAGAGAGAAATGGGGTTTAACGTCCACTCGACACAAACTAGGTCATTTCGGGACTAACACATGGTTCAATTTTATTTCTAGCAGTGGGAGGAAACCGGAGGACACAGAGAAAACCCACGAGAAACTCTTTGAAGAAGTACCGTAGATAGTTTATTATCGTAGAAACAGTACTTGACCACGTCTCGGTTATCCATTTTATCGTTACATTTCTATCGTTACATGGGTATACAAATTCATTTAAAACTCGGCCATCTGATGGTCTAGAGCGTTGATGTTTGGCTTGCCATGTGAATAGATATCTAAATTTATATACGATTTGAAGGTTTATTGAAGGACTTTAAACCATCAAACGTTTTAAGATATGTTTAAGTAGGTTCGCAATTTTGGTAATAGGGGAGCAAAGGGTACTCCTATCACGCTTGACGAAATACGCAACGCGCTTAATGTTCAGACCGACATAGAGTATAGCTTCTTCACTGGTAAGCTGATACCGTTGACTAATGAAGCTAGGCCCTTTAGTTATGACAATTTTTATCATTAAATCATAAAAGTGGTCAGTATTCTAAACTAATGTTTAGTATGTATAGAAAGTGGTTATAAAATATACAGTAGTCATTAATTAGCAGGTGTGTAACGAGCTGTAAAGGATGTTACTACTGGTGTAAAAGAGGGACTATTTATAACACCCATTAGTATTGAATACACAAATCTGGACAATAGTGGTGTATATCATTCAATAGTCACAATTTTAACATCTGAGTGACAAAACACCTATTTAATAACTACGACTACTACACATTACTGACGACTTTGATCTATTAGTGTCGTATATTTTTATTTATAACAGTTATTTGTTGCTTAGTCAACGATAGGTGAATGTATTCTTAATCTTGGAGAACTGATATAATTAAAAGGCTCCTCGCCAATAGTCGACTGTTTGACATTATTTCATACAAACTAAAACACACATTTTGTGAAATTAAAAATATGTAGGCGCTAGATTATTCTAAAATTCAAACCCTTCAAACCTATCTAA